CCGCCGCCCAACCGCCATGGCCGCTCCGCTCACCGGACTGGCTTGGACCTCGTCCAGTGTGGCCGCCGCCGGCTGGACTCCGGTGAGAGAGAGAAAGCCCTGCCCCTCTCCCGCGGGGTCCCCGACCTTTGAGGGGGAGACCAGCCCGACCCTCCCCCTTAGAAAGGGCGGGAAGTGGAGTGTTGGGGGTGTCCCGGGGTGGTGAGAAGCAGCCGCCATCCAAAAGCTGGGCTTCCCCCTCTGGCTTCTTTCATGCCTCCCTCCCTTTTTGTCTGTTTCCCTCGGAGTTGTTTCCACTCTTTTTTTCTCTCATTTGGTGCCTTAAAAATGTGTAAAGGTTAAAGAGAGGGAAGATTTGGAGGGGGAGGGAAACCCAGAACGGAAGGCATCAGGGTGCGGTGAGGGGGTGCGCGTTTAATAACATTTTAATGCTGTTTGTTTTAATGTTCTTAACCACCTTGAATGCTTTTCAGGAAAAAGGAATTATTACTATTAATAATAATAATAATAATAATAATAATAATAATAATAATAATAATAATAATAATAATAAACAACTACCTTAGAGCTGCAGAGTTGGAAAGGACTCTATGGCTCCTCAGAGTCCAGTCCCTGTGAAGGAGGCGCAGAGGGGAATTGAACTCCCAACCTAAGCCACTGAGCTGTCCAGCAGTTCTTTTAAGTTCAACTTTAAAAGTTAATAATATAAGTCAAACTTTTGGGTTTTAAATAAATAAATAATAAATGAGTCGTTGCTTTTGAATGCCTACCCAAAGTTTTCAGTTCTGACTGGGAAGAAACCTCTTATTCTGAGGAGTCGTATTTATTGCCGCTGGGAGCTTTGGTGGATTGTAAGTCACTTCATTAGTGTGACAGGTGTTATACGGGATCAGAACTACATTTTGAAATACCAAGGGACACCACTTCTGAACATGTGCAGAGTACATAGTTCTCTGATGGGAGGCACAAGGATCTTCTCAAAAGTTGGGGTTTTCTGGGTACAGAATCTAAATGCTGTGTGTCCTTCCTTTCAACTCTCTGCCTTATAACTTCCACGCTGCTTCCCCCTTGGCTTTTGATGCACCTATTATTATTTTCTTCAGTTTGGAACAAGCATGAGTATTCAGTATTGTTTAATAGTATATTTAAATTGGTAGTTCTTTCCTTCCAAAGAGCTTGCAGTCACTATAATCAGGGTCTGTTAACATTGTTTAAACTCTTGTCTTATCTTGGCAAAATTCTTAAATTCGCCTTCAAAGTCACAGTACATTCAAGTTGTTGAATAGCTTGGAATGTGTTAAATTCAGTGCCACAATGTTAATATAATCACAAAAAAGTCCAATACCTGTTTTGAAGGATTCTGCTCTGAGCTGCTTTAAGAAAGTGTGAAATATTTCAGCTGCCCTTTGATACATAAAAGAAACCCTGCAGGATTAGATTGAGCATCTGTCTAATATGGTGCCCTGTTTTCTGGAGTTAACCCTCAGATGCGTTTTCAGGCAGTGTGTGCAGACAAATAACTTTTTATGGCTGGCATAGATGGTCCACCAATCCTGGAAAGAGCTTCTAAACATCAACCTTATTCTCCATGAATTTGTCTTGTATGTTAAAGGATTTATCTCTAGAGAGGTGTAGAAAAAATGTCTGCCCAAAGCAATTGAGAACTGCTGCCAGTCATTGTTGGCAATACTGGGAGAGGAGAGATGGACCAATAGTTTGACTCATTACTGTGCTATTACTGTTAGCATAGATGACTGTGTTAGCTTCCTGTGTGTCACAGTGCACATTTGTCTGTGTTCTTATAGTAGTAGTTTATTACCACTTTTAAAATATGAAGGTACTTTTTACTTGGTTTGCCTAAATATGCCTGTGTGACACAATGCATGGGGCTTGTATTTGACAGGCGGGGAAACAAGCAGTGGGAGTCACATGGTTGTAGCATAGTTGCAGTGAGTGACCCTAAGTCTACAGTTCATATCTCAGTTATGAACACAGAAGGATGATTGGGGGCAAACTTTTAGCATTTCCATCTATAAAATGTGGTAATTATGTTGCCTTTTGATGTAGAGTTACTGTATTGTGAGGATTACTTCAGCAATATATAGAAACACATGGATTTGAGATACTATTATTTTACTTGGTTTATCCCAGTGGCTGAGATTTTAGCAGGAAAGTTGGGGAATTTACTGGTGCTGTGCTAGGTCCTGGGAGCTTTTGAATGAGAAACTATTCCACATGAAAGGAGTATAGCAGCTCCAGTCTGTACTCTTGTTATTGGCAAGATTAATTAACCTTTTAATGTGAAATATACAGCTGTTGAGACTGGAGCAGGATCTTGATATGTTTGCTGTCAAAATTATCCCTTTGGTTTATCTCAGTTCTTGTGTATACAGTAATCTCTCTTTTGCACTATTCATCTGTCACTGTCACAATTCCTTGACTATAAAAGGAAATGGAGTTAGCATAACACCCAACTTAAAATAGCAATTATTATAGATCAGCTGTTTTGATTTGTTGAGGAAGCCCTATCTTCATTTTAGTTAGTCATCAGTCTATAGCTATGGCATGGAGGTTTCGTACCACTTCTAAACTGGTTTGGCCTTAGTCTGCCTTGCCTTGTGTATTCAGCCCTTTCTTGCATCCTGCTGTTCTCAGCCAGTCCAACAATGCTGAAGACCTTTGAGTGCTTTGCTTCCTGCCCTGCCTACTGTTTATGTACTGTGAATCAGCCTGTGTCATTGTCTTTTTAATGACTAACATGTCTTATGGGAGGATTCCTGAGACAGATTTTCTTAAGCCACACAGTAACATTTTAAGATTTTCTGGGTCTCCGCCCCCTCCAAGATTTATGTCACACAAAATGTTTTATGTTACTTTCCCAGAAATGTAAAAAATTCAAAGTTTATTGATATGCATATAATCCTTGTGCTATATTGTTTTCAGTTGCTACTGTAACCAACCAATAGGACTTGTGAGATCTGCTCATGATATGTAGTACTGGTCGTGAGCACCTACCTACATGGGAATCATTCAACATAATTTTTTATATAAACAGAACTTTCAAGAATACAGCTGATGTAACCCTTGTGAACTTGGGGAAGTGCCATATCCATAGACCATGTGCAAAGGACCCTAGTTCCAAGAGCGATTGCTAGTAATGCAGTCAATAATGAGTTAAAAGACCAGACACTGTGAAAGATAGTTTCTTGTAAATTGGACAGTATTATGTTCTTTCTCCTTCATAAATGTCCTGTTCTCTCTTGTTGTGTCTAGCTTACATCCACAGTGGAAGGAGCACCTGCCAACTTTGGAAAGGGGTTTGCGCAGAAGTCTGGTTACTATCTGTGCTACACATCAGCTATCAGTGCGGTAAGAAAGATACTGTATCAGGGTTTCTGGAACTGACTATACAAAGTGCCCCAGTGTGGCTGATAAACTTTATGGAGTCTGCTTCTTTTTAGAACCCCACAGGAGATGTGCTATATGATGTAATAATCTTGAGTGAGAAATCACCACTACCTTCTGGATATACTTACGCTAAAGAATTCTCGGATACAAGTGAGTCTGTCTATCTATTGTTTTGTTTAATGTGACAACAATTCTTCACAGAAACTTAAGAAAAATTCCCTCTGGCATGTTTGTTGATAACACATTGTAGGACAGGACAGAACTATGCAGAATTGTAATACCTGGTTTGTAGAGCTGACATATTTACAGAAGTCTGTAGGTCAAATGACATTTTGCTTTAAATTTGTACCATATACCTGTGTGTGACTCCTCCATATATATGCCTCTTCTGGATCACAAGTAAGTGTGGGGGAGGAAGGTTGAAACCTCCATATGTATTTCTTTTAAAATTTGCTTCTTGAAGCTTATAAAAACACATTTTCCCGATGTTAGTGGGATTTTTCCTTTTATTTAACTCTTGTACATGACCTCTAAATTTTAAAATTAAAAATAGAGTAAATAAAGTGTCATGCAGCTACATGCTATGTATTTAATGTGTATTTAGTGTGTAACTCACAAATTGTGGAGTTTCTCTGGAGATAATTAGAAATGAGAAAATGCTACAAGGGTCTTATACCTGTACCTGTTATCTTTGTCATAGAGATAGAAAACTGTTCTCAAAATGTGTGATGGGCTTCAGTGCAAGTCTTTGATCCTATCCCAGTTTTGACTGTCTCAATTTTATAAGGCTGTCTGACAGCTATGAATTCTTCTTACCACTGCATGCTAGGTCATTTTGATACAACAATACTTGACACCTCCATGTTATTTTATTGATTGTAGTACTTATGGTTAGTGGAACAGTTTTGTACTTCCTGTGGGTATACTTCTTCCCTGCAGTTGTGAAATGTTTATGTGTAATGGGAGCTAAATCTTATACCATGAAAGTCTTCATAATATCCAGCTCCTCAATATGTTCTCAGCCCTCTCTTACAGAGCAGGGGTTGGAACCTCTCAAGCTCTCTATAGTTGCACCTAGGAGCCATAGCTAATCATAGGGAAATGCTGAGCACTATCCTTCTTTCTTTACAAGCTCCTAATGATTACTAGAGTCATTCTTTGTAAGCACATCAACCTTCCTTCCTTCTTTAATTATTTGGTGCCAGTTACACAATACTTCCCCAGCTCTCCAGCTGTATTGGAAAATGTAAGTCCCATAGCCACTGGTCAATGACTGTGTTGCCTCGGGATGATGGGAGCTGTCAGTCTGTGCATTTGGAGAGCGCTGTGTCAATGAAGGGGGTTATGCACATTGCAGTTTACAAATGACGGTGTTGGCAAGTGTTTGCACAGGGGACTTTAAGTCTGAAATATACAGGGAAAGAAAAGGATGGAGAGGGCAATGAAGGCAGCAGTAAACTGGGATTTTAAAATGAAACTAATTGCATAATCGGGAGAGTTATTTCTATATTCCATACCCAGAAGCTTGAGCTGAGAATTGAAGTTTTTGGCCCATTTTTAATGTCTGGAAGCCTAAGACCAAATAGCAAATTATTATGGAAAATGTGGATCTCACTACAGCACATTCAACAAGGAGCTGATGTTTACAGACATCATAAAATAGATCAACAACTGGTTTTTGGTAATTGGGGTCCTAACATGGCCTTTTTGACATATCAAGAAATTCAAAATATTTATAATTTTAGTAGTCTTGTAAAGGTATTAACCCAGATCTGATTGTGTTCAACAGAATTGTTGCTGACTGTGCTCATAATGAATGTTTCATTTTTCTTCTGCTATTGGAAAATTACTCTGGAAAATTATTTTCTTCCTTTGAGTGTGAGAGCAAGAAGAATGGAAATTGCTTGTTTAGTCTTCACCTAAAACATCTGAATTGTAGCTTAGTAGTTTCTCATACTTTACATATCGCTTTTGTCATTAATATATTATTATAATTATTCCAGTCCTACACTGTTGAGCCCATTCATGTACATTTCCCCTTATAGATGTGCTACCAGTCTTTGTGCTGATGAAGGTGGGGCATCTGTATTGTTCAGAAAAGACTTATCTCTCCTTTCTTCCTCCTGTTACAGAAGCCTCCATCTCCAAGAAGAAGAGGTTGTGTGTCAAGCTGATTCCATTGAGTACGGCAGAAACAGCTGTGTTTGACATCCTGATCAGCAATAAAAGCAAAGTGGTGCCAAACTACATGCGCATTGGGTGAGGTGCTGTCATCCTGACCCTTTTTCTCACTTTGTTTTAGCTCTGTGAAACCAGTGGTTACTTAAACAACTACAACACTTTGTATTTCTCCCATATAGAGACATGAGCGGATTTGCACTTTGGTGTAAAAAAGAGCATGTTGTCAAGCCTAAGCCTCTCCCTAAGCCACGGAATATCAGTCTAGAAATGAAGCAGCTTTCTCTAGAGTCAGAAAAGTAAGTTTTGGATTTTTTTTATTTTATTGTATGTCTTATATCCAACATTCGCCACAAGCAGTGATCCGCCATGTCTTTGTTTCCAGTAACTTGTGATATGTTGACTACAACATGCAGATATATTGTAAGATAATGTATCGTCAGTTTGATGCTGACTTACAGTGATCATTCCCAGGGTTTTTTAAAGTATTTAGAAGTGGTTTGCCAGTCAGTCTTTTCTTCTGGTGATGCACTAGGACTGTGCAGGTTGTCCAAGGCTGCATAGGCTGCCTGATCTTCCAGAAGACACAGTGGGGGATTGAATTTTTAAATCCAGGCTCCAATTCACTGTGCTATCTGGTCAACTTAGGCCAGTTGTAAAACAAATTATTTCTGGTCCACTGGTTTCAGTGGTTTATCCTGCAGTCTGATTTAGTAAGTGCTAAATTAGTTCCCATATTGTGTATTTGCGAAGGCTTTCACGGGCGGGATCTAATGATTGTTGTGGGTTTTTCGGGCTCTTTGGCCATGTTCTGAAGGTTGCTCTTCCTAACGTTTCGGCAATCTGTGGCCGGCATCTCCAGAGGACAGCACTCCGTGGACTCCAATTCACTGTGCTATCTGGTCAACTTCAGATGTCTTAGGCCAGTTGTAAAACAAATTATTTCTGGTCCACTGGTTTCAGTGGTTTATCCTGCAGTCTGATTTAGTAAGTGCTAAATTAGTTCCCATATTGTGTATTTGCGAAGGCTTTCACGGGCGGGATCTAATGATTGTTGTGGGTTTTTCGGGCTCTTTGGCCGTGTTCTGAAGGTTGCTCTTCCTAACGTTTCGGCAATCTGTGGCCGGCATCTCCAGAGGACAGCACTCCGTGGAGAGCACAGAGTGCTGTCCTCTGAAGATGCCGGCCACAGAGACTGGCGAAACGTTAGGAAGAACAACCTTCAGAACACGGCCAAAGAGCCCGAAAAACCCACAACAACCAGTCGTTCCCATATCATTAGGGACCCTTGTTGATTTTAAGTGTTTTGCACATAGACACATTGGTTTTCACTTTTGATCTTCTGTAATGTTTTGTTCTCTGCAAGGGTCTCCAACTGTAGTCATAACGCTTTGCAGAACCTTTAGCTAGAAGCTGTGCTTCCCACCAATGCTGCCCCTTCTCTGGGGATGCAAACAAGAGTCTGGATTGTAACAGACTGTTCTGTCTAGAAGGGCTTCTGTTGTTCCCAGAACTCTGAAGGTCAGTGAAAATAAGCCTTTCAGCTCCTTCCTAGATTTGGGTTGAGGGCACATCATGTCATGTCCAAGGCACTCGTTGTGAGACATAGGAAGTTCCCTGCAACAGTAGGTCCTCTCACTAGAATAAAAAAATATGGATCCCTTGTGCCTCCTTATATTCAACACATAAGCAGAGGCTAGTCTCAAAAGTGGTCTAAAGGAATCCAAACTATGTCAGATAGCAGTCTTTGTTTGGCATTTCAAACTGTTCAGCTGGTAATTCACTAATAGACATTATATGATCACTAAGGAAAACTTTTCAATCGTTTCAGTGTGAACCAGCCATCAGCAAAGCCCACAGGCCCCCATAGGCAAGCCACCCTTAAGCGGCATGAGTCGATATATGACAGTTCAAATGTTTATGGTATCTCGGGTATGTATGCTTGGTTCTTGGGACTGACACAAGTAAAATTTTCTTTTGCTTGCTCATCAGCTATGCATCTTGATGTTCTCCCCTTGTTGTGTATTTCTAAACAACACTTAGTGCTCTTTGCCTCCTCACCTTCAATACTTTTCCATTCTATGAAGTCTTAATCAAGCCTTTGGGATGTACTTTTGTTGTTGGGGCAACGGCAGAACCTCTTGAGGGGGAAGGGATTCCCTGTAGATACATTTTTTTTCATGCTTGAAACCTGGCAGTTTTTCTCATGTTCTACTTTCCTAGTAAAATTTAGTATAAGAGTTTGTCGTTAAGACAGACTGTGGTAAGATTGTCATCTTTTTTTTAACCGAATTGTCCCGTCCCCTCTCAACAACCTGAAGTATTTGTTTCTCTTTTAGCCATGGATGGGGTTCCCTTCACTTTGCACCCCAAGTTTGAGAACAGCATCACTAATGGCAATAAGGTAAATATTATTTGTGGTCCCAAGAGCTTTACTGGTATCAGGAGAACACTTAAGGCCCTTACTGATCTGCGTCTACTCATTGAGCAGTTGGTCATCAAAAGCTGCATTTCGACGAGGTGCGGTCATTTTGGGGAAACCTTGCTTGTGTATTGGTGACGGTACTGGTGATGTGAAGATGTTTTGTACGTTGAAGCGTCAATGGACATGTAAGAATAAATGCTATGGGTTGTTTTTTCCTCCCTAGGCTTTTTCTCCTTTTAAAAACTTGCATATCAAGTCTCTGGCTGACATTGAGAAAGAGGTAAGTACAGTGGACCCTTGACTTACACCACGACTTGACTTACAGACTTTTTGAGTTACAGACTTCTCTGGCCGCAAAATTTAGGTTTGACTTGCAGACTGAGATTTGACTTACAGACCAGAAAAAAACTAAAATGGAACAAAAACGGCCTGTTACGGGATTAATCGGTTTTCAATGCACTGTAGGTCAATGGAGACTTGACTTACAGACTTTTTGACTTGAGAACCGCCTTCCAATACGGATTAAGTTCTCAAGTCAAGACCCCACTGTATTCACTGATAAGGTATGGTGTACACATTTCAACTTCTTCAATATGCAGTCGTACCATTTGTCCACCATAACCCAGTGTAGTATACTCTTCAGCCTAGATTTCTTTTCACCCTACTACCCAAAATTCTTCAGCTACAGTTTGCACTTGAGGGCTGCAGCATGACAATGATGCCCTATGACAGTGGTGGCGAACCCAAACTGGGAAAACGCGGTGGAGGACCCAGAACCGGAAGTGGCGGCGGAAGGTGCCTCAAGACCCCTCCGCTGCCAGCACCAGTTCCTCTGGATCCGTCTGCCGAAGTGCCAGCAGTTGCCTCCTGAGGTTTGGCTGCACAGGGGGGAGTAGTCATCTGGTGACCTATGCCAGCACCAGTTCCTCTGGATCCACCTGCCGAAGTGCCAGCAGTTGCCTCCTGAGGTTTGGCTGCACGAGGGAGTAGTGATCTGGTGACCTATGACTCGTGTGCCATAGGTTCGCCATCACTGCCCTATGACATCTTTCCTTCAGAAGTATGGTGGTGGTGTTTGTTACATGCCGTTTTGCTTTGCTTTCAGTATGACTATGGTTTTGTAGTTGAAAGAACTGCAGCTGCTCGACTCCCACCCAGCATCTCATAATGTTGGCAGTTCCTGTTAAGAAGACTGCATTTTCTGCGCATGAAGCACAAGGATGTTTGCTGACTTCACTGAGAAGATGGAAGTACTTCAGAAAGGACCTACTTTATTGGGACCATTGCTCTAGTAGTCAAAATTTGTAAATTATAATTTTGCCTCTTGGAAGGTGATAGGATTCCCCACACTATGGTTCATTGCTGGTTGGTGCAAGCCAAATGTCTTTTGCATATAATTTCCCCAACATCACATCCTTTTTCCCTATGCAAAACACTGCTTTTCAAAATAGAATTGTTTTGTGGGCAGAACCTTCTTGGTGTTTATTTGTGGCCTTTCCTAGTATCGTGCTTTGATTGTACAGTTAGTACAGAGAAGACAAGTGGCTTGTACTGAACTATGAAACTAATTCTGACTGATGGCAAATAGAATTTTTTCCCCATAATCTTTTCTAAAGATAGTTACCTATTTAAATTGCCAACTTCTCAAAAGATGTTTTGATGCCACAAAGAAAAGATGTTGACATATTTCAAAATGCAATGATTGCCATTTAATTACCAAATCCCATGACCACTTTTCCAAGAGCACAGGGACAGTACAAAAGTCAGCTGTTGCTGTCATGTTTGGAAAACACGTGAAAAGTTAGTGTAGCCTCTGCACAGCCTTTGTGGCGGCCTCCAAAATAACAGTGGAAAGTTGCCTGCCAGTACAAACTGGTGTAAAAGGCTGCCCAAGAATAAATATTCCTTTTGCAGTGCTGTAGAATGGCCGATCCCTTATGATGTCCTTCACTTCAGCCAAAAGAGGGAAGCCGTCTCAAGAAGGCACTTTGAGTTTTGTGCTGCCCAGAAGGAACTGTAGGACTCTGTCTATGAGTAGAGCGACAGAGAAGTTGGCCAGCAAAACTTGAATGATCACTATTTTAAACTGAAATAGGAAAAAATAAACATAATTCAGTGAGAGAAAGCACCATAATTTACTTTGCCCTTTATTGCAGTAAACCTATATATATATGTTAGTCATTTTCCTACTATGCAATCCACTAGTGGCTTACCAGCATGACAAGGGCTACATGTACATGGTCCACTGATGTAACACTCAGGATTAACCGACAAAGCATACCCTTTACTCTTAAGAATAAGCTTTTGTTCTTAAAATGCTCTTTCCACTTTACTACACCCCAGGTACAGAGAACTCTCATAATTTTTCCCGAGTTAGCAATAAAACAAAACTGTACTTTATAAATTTAAGGCAGAACAAGGGTAGGCTGTATTCACATGCTGATGGCACATCTCCAAAGCAGGTGCATAATTTGGCTCACAAAAAACCTGGGGGCTATACAGTCCTCCAGGTTTTTCAAAGTTAAAAGCAGAGATGCGCACTAACACCAAAATTTAGAAATACAATACTTTGGATATGGAATTTCTGGATATCAAGAACTCCATTATGGTCAATATGAATACTGTACTATATAGTTCCCATTTTAAAAAAACACACACACATTTAAAGAGTCTCCCTGTGATACTTTCCCAATGATTGTGCCAAACAAAAAGAATCCACACTAACAGCCAGCAGTACCTAGGTAATGACTAATAGGCATGCGGATTGAGCCTTGAATAGTGGGAATGCCAACATGGAAAATGCCAGCAGCATTGTGGGAGCAGAGGACAAGTTGCACTGAGGAATGGCCAAATATTTTGAACACTGGCAGGCAGATTGGAGCAGCAGATCTGTGGTGGGTGAGAAATGTTCCAACGTCATGGGGTCCAGCACAGTGAGTACGATCTTGGGGTTAGTAGTCAGAAAAATGAAGAGGCAGAAAGAACAGGTAGTAGAGTGCGCCATTCTCTCCTTAAAAAGGGACTTCAGGAAAGCCCAACAATAGGTTCATCTTAAGGAAAAGTTTTTACTGTTCCACATTTCAGGCACGAGCAGTGTAGACTGACAATGTCCCCTGCCTAAAAGAACAGTCACTGGATACATGAGTTGGTGGGCAGGATAGCAGTTCCACTGCGAAATTGGCCACGCTTCCCTAACTAGGCTCCTCCTCAGCCCTGTAAGAGAAGGGGTCAGTCTTTCTTGCAGTGTAGGGCTCCTGCAGGTATGTTTCTACCTCATCCTTCCTTGGGTGGCATCTCTGGAGGACAGGCCCCTGCCACGCTTGACAAGACTGTGTCCCAGAAAGCTTGCCATGTTGTCACTGGGGTGAGGGATTTGGACTCCAGAATACAACCAGTGGCACTGTTTTTTGCAGTGCTATGAACATTGCTAGTTTCTTCCCCCTGTGTGATCCCTTAGTGCTAGTCAGGCCATCACCAGTTTCTGCTTAATATCCATTGTTTACTGTTTAATTCAGGGGTTGAAGAGGGTTGCTACAATGTAAGGAAAACCTGTAGCAGACCAGGACCTTTAGCTTGCTGACCAGAGCCACCACGTCAGTCTGTGGAGAAGCCCCTCTCCCCCCTATGGAATCCTTCATCCACCTAGATGGTCCCTCATTATGCCCTCCATCATGCCAACCAAGAACATACAAATGACTTGCCTAAAGATGCCTGTATCAAAGCTATTGGAGAATACTGAACACTTGAATCATAAGGTCCCACTCTTCCCTGTCCAGAGCAGCAGCCACACCAAGGGATGTCTTCCATGCTAAATCATGGAACACTCTTTCAAGCAAGTAGAAAGGAGTTCCATCAATGTTGCCACATCCTAGATTAGGTGGTGCAGTGGCAATCATAATTTTCCTTGCCTCTGCTGCAACAGCTTTGCCCTGGGCACTGCTGAAAATGCCCCACCGGCTTTCTGGACCACTCAGTTATGTTAGGTATTTATGTCTCTTCCATACCTGGCAAAGCACTTCAAACTACTATTTTCAGAGTAGACCATATACCGCACCCCTTTCATTGTCCCAACTTGCAGTGCTGCCATTATGTTTGCCCCTATTGTCTGTGACAGAACTTGCCTTTCTGTAGTTTAAGACTCCACTGCTGCAGCATATCCCTCAGAGCAGCTTGAATGTTATAAGCTGTGGGGCTGCCTTCCATCACTGCCACATTCAACAGGTCTCACTTGTATCCTGTCCATCTGTGTTGTCCTATGCTTGATGTCTTTCCCTCCCACCAGTATCCTGTCAGATACAGACATGTTTTGCATCCTGGCTGCTCTAAATGTCACTAACAAAATGTATCACCTGTGCCTTGGCCAACTGCTGCTGTGCCAGTTGCCTAACACTCTAATAATAATCTGGCACCACCTTGCAGCTAAGGGTCATTCAGGATGGCAGTTGGTAATGGGGTGCCAGTTCTGCCAGAAACCTACAGAAAACAGTGTTCTCCATCAGAGAGAACGGTTGATGATCCAGGGCTATCAACCCCTCCAGGAGATGAGTAATTCTGACATTTTTGTTTGCAGAAGGCCCTCCAAGCTCCTCCAGGGTAGCCTGGAACTTATTCTTGGGATCTGGGTCTGGCACTTGCTGCTTCCCACTTCTTGCTATTTGCCCATTCTGAAGAATTAAGGGCTTAGGGGAAAATGAAAAATGAAGTTCATCTTCTGGATTTTGTGTGTCTGAGGACATAGAAACTTGAACTTTCACATCTGGAAATAGCTTGTTTGCACTTCTTCCTTATCTTTTATTCTGGTGTTCCTGTTTGGGGTCAATTCAAAGAAGGACTGAGATCAAGAGGATTTCAAAGCAGAGCTTAACATATCAAAGCAGCCACCAGTTGTTTGTATCTGTGAGACAGGAATCAACTTACTTTCTTGCCTGAGGGTTATGCAGATTTCAAAGCTGGGAAGGAGGCATGTAAGAATGATCAATGTGGATTAAGAGTAATTATTAGACAGTTGACCTCAGATGTTAATAGGCTATTCATATGTATAGAAGAGAATCGAGAATCTGAATCTTTTGGTGCTTACATAGCTTTTAGGAGACTATGCTTCATTTGCTGGTGGCAGCATTATTTAGAGAAACTCTGCCTGCCACGTAGGAAGTTGTGCTGCAAAACATAGGCAGTGTCTCCCCAGATATACTCACTCTACTTGAGGGTGAGACAGATAAGATAAATTAGTCTATTATTTTCTGGTGTGTTTCTGCTTTTGGATACTGTAATCCTGTAACCACATTTGCTTGTGTATCTGGAACTCATTTTTTTCCATTTTGAATTTTCTTTTTTGTTTTGTCCTTTTTTCTAATAAACTACATAAATACTTTCAAGTCAGAGTCTGGAAGATGACTGAGAGGAGAAGCAGGGTATTAACTTTCCACTCCTTAAGTGCTTGGTAGCTCAGTGGTTTAGGTCTCTGGCTGCAGAACCAGAAGTTTGGAGTTTGATTCCCCACTGTGCTTCCTTGACAGGAACTGGACTTGATGATCCATAAGGTATCTTCCAGGTCTGCAGTTCTAAGGTTATTCGACTTGTTCAAGCTACTGGGAGTGTTGATTTTATGGGAGCTGGTGGCAGCTTATTATATGTATTGAACCCCTTGAACACACACTGCTTCACAGGCCAACAGCACTGCTGGAGAGTGGAAGGATCCCAGCCAGGACTCATAGCTTTCCTTATGCCTGCTTGCTCTGGTCACTCCCATTCAGAGAAAGCAGGAGGCAGCATAGCAGATTGGCTATAGTGAGGAGTTTGGCCAATGGCTTCTGTGGCACACATCTACCTTTATTTCCCTGAGCTGATGAGTCAACCTCTGCCCTCTGATTACCCTTACCCTTCCCTCTTTTGCAACAGAGGCAAGAAAAATTGGGACTGTCACTTGCTCCCACAGTAGCCACTTCATTTGCCAGCAGCAAATGCCCTGTGCTGAGTATTCAGGTGGCTCAGCATGCTACTGCTGGAGAGGTGGCCCAATGTCTGTCCAAGCTTTAGCAGCTTCTTGCAATGCATGCACTCAGCCATGTGAGTATCTGTTCCACAGCTGACAATCCAGATTATTGACTTCTTGGGAGCTCCAGGTTTGACTGCACATTCCTAGCAGGGATTGCTAATTTGTCATCGGTCACGGTTCTGGCAGCTGGTGGAGCAAGTGCAGCTGGATGGCAGGAGTGATTTTAGTGTCGCATACTTTTGAACTACTGCCCGCCTCAGGTCCCCTTAGTCATCTAATCCCCCATATCAGATGTGTATGTACTTGAAGGGGGGGGGGTCCCACCAACCATGCTGCTTTGCATAGGAGAGATTTGCTGGGAATGAGGCCTGGGGGTGTTTCTTTGAATATGATGGAGCTGCATGGTATGGATATGAAAGGCAATGTCTGGTAGGTAGGCATCCTTCATTCTCGAGAGACTATGATAATGTGGTCTGAATAGAGGTCTTGGAACAGCATCTAGTGTAGCTGAGAAGGCCATTTCGAGAGTGACAATTCCTTCCACACTGAGGACAAATACAATCTGTCCCCTTTCCTGTCCCTGATTTTGCTGGTTTTGGGACTGTCTCTTTGCCTCGGCGTGCTGGACAAGGGTCTCTTCAAAATGGGAGAGGCCATGATACTACCTGCCTCCAGGCTGAGCGCTCAGATGTCAAGGTTTCCCATCTGTTGAGGCCCATTCCTAAGGCCTTCAGATCCCGTTTGCAGATATCCTTGTATCACAGCTGTGGTCTCCCTCTGGGGTGCTTTCCCTGCACTAATTCTCCACACAGGAGATCTTTTGGAATCTGACCGTCAGCCATTTTCACAACATGCCCAAGCCAACGCAGATGTCACTGTTTCACCAAAGTCTGGTGCTCTTCATAAATCTCTTTCATACTAACCAAAACAGTAGCACTACTGCTGCCCACCCAATGTCAGTCTCGAGTGCTGATGGTATGGTTGTTATGGGTTTTCCGGGCTGTTTGGCCTTATTCTTAAGGTTTTTCTTCCTAACGTTTTGCCTGCAAAAGATCAACGAACTCTACCCAGCCCCAAGGACCAGAGATCAGTGCACACAAAAGACCAGCTAACGACATCCATCAGTCACAGTAACAGATCATTTCTCCCCCTTATCACAACAATGCACTCACAACAAAAAACACGCTGATCACTATAATCACCCAATCTCCTGAAAAGGACAAAAGCTAAGCCCACAGCTACAAATACTCAACTATCCAACAAATTGCACCAGAGCACAGACAGTGTTCTGACTCCTGTCCTCTGAAGATGCTGGGCACAGAGACTAGCAAAATGTTAGGAAAAACAACATTCAGAACACAGCCAAACAGCCTGGAAAACCCACAACAACCATTGGATCCCGGCTGTGAAAGCCTTTGAGAATACATATGATAATGCTATCTTTCTCCTTTGGTATACTGGCTTTTTGGGATAAAAGTACTTTTTCTTTAGTATGTTTTTTGGTTCCTTGCCCTGGCTGGATTGCACAGAGATATCACTGAAACATGCCTCCTATTTGTTTCACCTTGAACCAGAGGCCTCTCTGCCACCTCCTTGGCAGAGACACATACACCACATACAATGACAGATTTTGTTTTGGGGGGCTCATAATGGCTGTTATAGGCCATCTTTTTTCTCCCTCTCTCACATCTCTCAGTAGAAGCTGCTGCAGTGGATGCAGGCAGCAGTTCTGCAGCCTTCCCTACTTAGTTCTTCCACCACATCCATGTTTCACACTGCCTGCAGAATCTACCCTAAGCTAGAGCAGAACACAGACCCAGCCATGAAAATCACACATACACAGAGATGCAAAATCTACTAACTTAACACATCTGTATATAACACAATCCTATCCCCCTGCTTGATATACTCCGAATATACCTATAACACAGTATTTTCCTGTTGATTTATAATTAGTCTACTAATGCTAAATCTTATTCCTAACTATATTAAAGCAAACAATATTCAATGACATGTAGAGAATGTACATGTCATATTGTGGGGTCAGAAAAGAACAAACAGAAAACTGCAGTGCAGGCTTGCACCAGAGCATAGGTTCAGGGGGTTTATAAACAGCTGTGCCCACCTTCCAACTGAAACGAACCAATGATCTCCCCAAAACCCTTTTGATGTTTATGTCTGACAGATTTCTTTTGTGTAGACAGACATAATTTATAGGTTTTGCTCTCACCCCAGCTCTCCTCCTCTGGGAAACTCAAGGCAACCCTTATCAGAAGACTATGAGTTCTCTGCCCCCACTACTACCACATCACTCCAGGATGCCTGAGAAATAGGTTTCATTTTTACTTCTTCTAGCGGGTAGAAACTCAGCCTTTTGCTTTCTAATCTATAGCAGTAAATGAGACTCTGAATATTATGAATTATTAGATATTCAGAACTCTTATTTCAGAGTTGCAATTGCGATCGCAAAAAGATCGTCGTAATGCAGTTTTGTCGTAATGCGGGGCAATCGTAAAGTGAGGCACAGCTCTACACTTGAAATCATATATTTAAAGTGACAAGATAAAACTTAATTTTTACACCAAAATAATACTTTTTTTACAGTTTTTGAGGGAGGAGGTGAAATTTCAGAGGAAGACTCAGCCAAAAGCCTGCCTGCTCCCAAAGGATGATGAGACTTTTGAAAAAACCAAGCCAGAGGCATGATTCAATAGGACACACACCTGAATTATGGGACTGGGAGCCATCAAAATGGCAGGAAGTAGAGCAACCGTCTTACATCCATGCTGTTCTTGCAGCACCTTTTCCTCCCCTCTGAAGTGGCCAGCTGCACCTTTGTGAATTGCAAGGATTCTGTAATTCTCTAAGGTGTGTGGGATAACTAATTCTAATGGAAGCAGCCTCCCATTGGAACTTGTTCCCTCATGCATCCTTGCAAGTTGTAAAAATGCAGCTGGAAGCTTTTTAGAGGGCATAAACAAGTGGCACAAGAACCACATGGAGGTAAGAGGCTGCTCTACTTCCTGCAATTCTGATGGCTCCCAGTTCCATAATTTGGCCTGCAGGGTTCCTGCCTAATTATCGGGATGGAGAAATTGTTTTTTTTTGAAAGCCCTGTCCCTAGTACTCACCTCTGTTGGGATTTCTACTAGTCCAAACTGTTCATTGAACTCTGGGGAAGAGCCAGCCAGAAGAGCAGCAATAGCCAGTCCTGACAGAATGATGCTCCACAGTAAAGGTTTGTTCTCCCGCAAGCTTTCCATAAACGGATGGCCCTGGAGCAACAAGGATTAGAAGAGCAGCCAAACTAATCAGTTTCGTAAGTGGCACAGCACATCTAAAGGCCAAAACAGTGGGCACTACCTGCACTCACGTATCAGCCCATTTCCTGCCATTAAGGGTAGACCATTTATACTGGTCTCCTAGGTAAGGTCCATGAAATTCATCACTGAGAAGTTTTCAAAGATGATTGGTATTTTGCCCGCCTTAAAGTTGACAGCATCTGAATAGTCTTGATTTTTACTGCAATGCATAGGTGACTTGATGATGATTTAAAGGAGCTTTAATTGCAAAATGATGCCTTATCTAGCTGGAAAGCAATGTTGTCTTTGTACTCAATATATCCCAATTGTGCAGGAAGGAGGAATTACAGAAGAGGGTCTGGTATCTCTGAACTTCTGGTTTTCCCTACCAATGAAGAAGAGATATTTAGTGCTTCTTAGGCCTGTTCACAGGACACTTTCCATCCATCCATTCATATCTCATCTTTTTCCCCATCCAGTGATGCAAGACAGCTTGCCAAATAATTAAAAAATACAGGAAAAATACAACAAACTACAATATTAAGAGGAAGTTAAACATATATTAATCCTTCCGATACTTTAGAATCAAGTCATTCAGGGCTTTTATAGATTATAGATTATAGATTTTATAGATTAAGGCCACTTTTAACTGTCTGGAAAATGACTGGCAGTCAATAAAGCTGTTATAATGTGGAATTTCTATTCTCCCCATTAACCACTCTGATCCTGAACAATTTCTGAACCCTTACCAAAGGCAGACCCATGGAGCATGAGTGACAGCAATCCAAATAGGTGTAGCTAAGGCATGTTATACTGCAGCTAGATCTGAAGGAGAATATGCTACTGCCATATCATGTGCAAGTGTACTCCTAGCAGCTGCCAAGATCAGGCATCCACAGTTGGGACTGGATCCATCAATACACCCAAGATGCAGATGTGACTTTTGGGGGCAATGCAACCCTATTCAGTACAAGCCAAACCCCTATTTCTGGATCTACCAGGAGCACCCGTGTCTTGTCTGGATTAAGCTTCAGTTTGTTGGAACATGGCTCCCTTTGATTTAGTGGAGTTATGAAGATACAAAGAAATAGCTGCCTCCCCCTGTACCAACAAGAAGACATACAGATTCTCAACATCAGTAGAGCAGGACTGCAACCACTAGGTAATATTATTTTGACTTTCATCTGACCCAATTTGGCTAAACCGAGTGAGTTCATTCAATTATCAACCCAATTTCCAGGTGGAAGACTAGGGTTTTCTATGCCACCCCCCCCCCAGCCAAGCAGTGACATGTAAATTTCAAAGAAAGGCCAAATAGGAAGGTGTGAGCACATTACCTGTGCCCTTATGTATGAACAATTAGAGTGTGAGAGCCAATTTATGGCTGCCCCATTAGTAACCTTAAAACAATAGCCCTAAATGCAGCCTGCATCTTTCCTGACTTCCATCCAAGAAAGACGTGCCTGGCAAAATCCATCATGCCATGAATTTTTGGACTTTCAAGTTCTTCACACTGATACATGTTTGATGAGGTGGATGTCCTGATCCACAAAAACTTGCAGATTGTATGAGGATGATTTTTTAAATAGTGTATTGCTTGCTCTTGTATTTGTAGTTTGTAGCACTATAGGTTATTAACCCACTCCTGCCATCATCCCTTAATCACAGTCTGAATGTGTTTGGGAATGGGCAAGGTTCCACCACCGGAATTCTAGAATCTTAAAACCTGTGCAAGTGGATGCCCACTTAGGCAGAACATTCTGACTCCTTGTTCTGCGAGGCTGAACTCCTCATTTTGGATTCCTTGCCTTAGCTTTCTGGTGAAGTCTTTTTACCCCTACTCTTTTAAAAGGTTCCTGCAGCACATCTAGAAAAAAGCATCACACTTCAGCAGTACTGAATGAAGCAGGAAGGTAATTAGGTTAGCGCCACTCACCTTATAATTGATGGCAAAGGTGGCCATCTGCATAGCCATAGACATGATGTAAACAGTGCTGTTCACCAGACTTGGTTCAAATTCCTTATACAGATCTACAAACTCATCTTTCCTTAAAAAAACAAAAGAGAAACCTTGAAAGTTATCTCGTTAAAAATGCAGCTTATTAATTCAAGTCATCCAATTATGCAATTACAGAAATTCTCCGTTTGAAAATTTCAGTTTGCATGCTTTTCTTATACACATGTTGCCCATGTTTTACTCTTAATTCTGTATTGCTAAACTTAAATTCAAGCAGCACTCACTTAGGGTTACTGCGGGCCTGTGCACCTCGATATAGATAAACCAAGCTGACAAAGTGAACCATGAATTGCAACAGCACAGTAAGGACCGTGTAGAGGTTGAAGATATTAGGGAGTGGACGCTCCCGGGAGAGGGTCTTCAGAGGCTGAAAGCAAAAAGAAAGAGGTTAGAAGCCGCATTGCACAAACTGCCTTGGGGATCTGGGCCACAGTTCTATTCTGCTGCTAGTGGCCTGGAAGTGTCCCCAAACAATTACAAAACTCATCAATCTACTTTAGCTATCAAAACTCACGAAGAATCCTGTTTGATCTGTCTGCTCACACCATGATTGTTTCTGAGGGGAAAACAGATATTCAGCACATTGTTTTCCAAGTATAAGCCCCATTCATTTCAGTAGATTGGTCTCCAGATGTACAATAGCAAGTTGGAGATGGTGTAGTGCTTTGCTGGTGAAGCAAAAGGATACCGAACAACAGGAAAAAGGCCCCATTGCTCTGTGTGGATCTGTTTTTCTGGACTGTTTTAAAATCTCTTTCATGCCTGTAGCAAAATGACACAGGGCTGAGCATCCTTTCCTGGACAAAGGAACAGACGGGGAGTATAGTATATACTCTGCTTCAAAAAAATGTCCAGGCTGCTAAACTGCATGTGGAATATCCAGTCCCAAGCATGGAGGCTAGAAAAAGGGCACCCTAGTAACCAGGGCAAGTAGACAACAAATTCCTTGAGTCTGTCAGCAATGCACACTTCATTCCACCCCTGAGTTCCTGAACTGCTCCAGGAATTAAGGTTTGAATCCTTTGGGTGTTCAAGTTGTGTTAAAATGCTCAGGAGAGATGCAGAAAAATTGCCCTTAAAAGTAAAGAACTTTTACACTGATGGCTTGAAAAAACAGTTAAAGAAAACAATTAGCCCGCTACAGCAGGCAAGGTTACAGATTTATAAACATTTCTGATAGCTGAATGCTGTTTGTTGTATAAATGGGGATTTGCTACTTGTTAAAGAATTCCATTCAAGCCAGTGATATAATAAACAATGATGTAATGTGTGGTTTAAAGGAAAATAGCAGTTGTTATCCAATGGCGCCATCTTTTGGAAAATGTAAAAATATCCAAGTTGTAGCTATTCTTAGCTTAAAGCAGGGGTCTCCAAACTAGAGCCCGTGGGCCACATCTGGGCCCCCATGCCTTTTTGTCTGGACTGGTCTGTGGGCACATGTGTATGTGGGGTGGGCTTGGGAGCGTGTGCGTGTCTTCCTTCAGCCCTACAAAATTTGGAGCATATATGACGTGGCCCTCCTGCTGAAAAATTTGGAGACCCCTGGCTTAGAGGGACCAGGGTTAGCAGTTTCTGGCTCAGCATTTCCTACACTAGTGGGAAAAGTCAACATATAACATTTTAGTTTCTACATCAGAAACTTGAGTATGGGCAAAGTCTGTGATATTTTACATCGCTGTTACACACCCAGCTGTTCCTCAATGAAGAAATCTGGGTAAAACAGCACAAAAAAGTCAACATATAACATTTTAGTTTCTACTTCAGAAACTTGAGTATGGGCAAAGTCTATATTTTACATTGCTGTTACATACCCAGCTGTTCCTCGATGAAGAAACCTGGGTAAAACAGCAGAAAACTCAGAGGCAGAACCCCAGCTTCCCTGCCCTGCCTCCTCTAGGTGCTGCCTCTGAGTGGACACCCACCAGAGGAGGTGGGACTAATAACCACTTAACACCTATTCAGCTGAGAAGCCAACCAGCACAAACCACCAGTGTGCATCTCTACTCTGAAACTCAAATGAATATTAATATGATTGTCTGAGACTGTTTGGTTTTGTTCTGGAATTCACTCTTTACCTGGGATAAATGCCAGCTATGATGTACACAGGCTTCTGATTTTTCTCTGGAGGTCTATGGAATTCCTGTAGGACTTTTCAGGAAAGTTGAGCACCTAATTTCTGGGTCTGACACAGGACCTTCTTACCTTGGAACGGGAGATGAAAAGGAAGCAGCCTGCCAGCAGCAACCCCTGCAGTGTGGCTTGAAAATCACTGAACTTTACTCCTTCCAAGTAAAGGACGCTTTGACTGTAGGCCAGAATAAGTGCATTCAGGGCTAAGATCTTGAACATTTGGAGTGTGGTGACCAGGGTGCAACGTCCTTGCTTGATCACATGACAGACTGCAAAATGAAAGATAGCACTTTTACTTGGATTTCCACCAAATGCTGTACTGTACTTCCTGCCCATTTGTCTTGATCACATAAAGACAGTCCATGTAAAAGAGAAGCCTGAGGCTGGTATGGAGCCTGTCTCGGCTCTGATCATCTCTAACTTAAAACCTTCTCTAAGTGGAGAGGCCTTGGTATTTGGGGTCGAGAGTCCAATTAATGCAGAAATCAGATCCTCAAATGATATAGTAAAGAGAAGCAGTTGGTAATAAGCATTCCTTCCCGGCTTCTCCCCACCATTCCTCCTGCCCATCACAGGGAAAACATGAAACTCACATTGGCTTATAGATGGATTTGATGTAAAGGATCCTAATGAGCACCCTCATGCCAATAGGATAAGAAAGAGGATCATCAGATACTTTCACTGTTGTGTAAACCTGACCATGGGCACTTCCTGTTACTTGGTCCAAGCGCACACAGTGCACGCATGATCAAGGTGGTGGATGAAGGCTTCCTCCCTGCCATACTCACTGCACTGTATAGAGGAAAGCTTGGAGGTGAAAGGAGCTGCAATGCTGGCGTCGCCCAGCTTCACAATGGGCACTTGTTCATCCTCCAGCTCCCTGAGCACCTGGCTAATCCTCTCCTGTTAGAAAGAAAGTCAGGGGTGGGGGAGACCATGTTTTATTTCAACAGAGAGCAAGGATTCAGATCCAGCTTGCTGCACAGATGCAATCTTGAACAGCAGCAGTATATACAAAGTGGTTCGCCTTGCAAAGGAAGCAACAAGAAAAAGCCAGAACATTATTTAATTCATCAGCCCTCGCCAACTGAGCCAATAGTAAGGTGCCACGTGGGGAGTAATAGGTCATTAAAACCTGGAGGGCGGATGGCTCCTTGTGCTGGTTCAGCTCAAGGTCATGGGGGACTTGAAAACAGGTCAGACTGAGCCTTCCTAGAAGAGTGCCCAGCTTCTATTTAGGTCGCCAACAACTCTCCTTGTACATCCTGCCCTGGCACAGAGACTCCAAGAATCGTCTCAGTCTCTCTGAGGACTTTGAATCTCAAACAGGAAAAAGAACGGCCTGAAACACGAGCAGACACAACATGGCAACAGCTGTGCGCATGTAAAGGGAAACCCATCCACCCACTCACCCGCTGAATGGCAAGCTGCTCCTCCCTGTGTGACATGAGCCTGTGCTTGGCAGCCCGGGAAGTGGGCCTCATGTTGCTCCCAGCCATGGAGGAGGGCAGAGAGGGCTTTCCGTCAGCAGGTCCATCACGGGGGCGCTTCCTGCGCTCAGGGAGGCGTTCAGGCGCATTAGCTAGCAGAGCAACTCCTGCAAGAAAAATGAGACCGTCCATAGCACAAGGAAGGCACGGGGAACCACCGCCAGGCGAGTTGCAGTTTCAGGGGCAGATCCTTTTGGGAGTTCCATGAGACAAGACGGGACACGAGACAGCAAAAGTCCTACCTTGTTAGGCTGCCTGTTCGCCGAAAGCCTAAGGAGTTGTAAGAACAGAATGTAGGTGGAGTGCATAAACTTTTACGACTTTCATGGGGCTCTGGAGCATGAACCGAAAAAGAGTCTCTTTACCCGTAACATTTGTTCTTCAAGTGATTACCTGTGCGTTCACACAAGCAGGTCTGTGCCTGTGCAGAGCCATGGTTTGAGACCCTTAGATGAAGAGGGTGTGGGTGGTAGCCCTGCCCCTCCTCCCATACAATACATGCTTGAGCACGCTTTCCTTCACTTGGAAAATGTGGATGACATAGCAGCAGAGAGTTAGCCACAGGTGCTGAAGGGATCAATAAAAATGGATCACGCCAATGCAGGGAGCAACAAAACTGAAGGGATCAATAAAAATGGATCACGCCTATGCAGGGAGCAACAAAACAAAAAAAACAAACCACCACTGCAGATAATGGAGTGTCTTTTCCCTCTGTCTGCATCACAAGTGGGAGTAAGATCAGTGAGCTTACTTGCAAAACCAAGGGAGGGAAGGAGGCAGGAAGGTACCTGCAATGACTGGAGCCCAACAGAAAAGAACTGTTCTTCCAAGATGTATCTTCTTCTTTCCAGGATTTACACTAGTACTGAACAAAAGTTGAAGCTTAAGACCAAGTGACTGCTCAAAATACGGCAGGTATATTCACCTTTAAGGAATGGCTTTCCAGTACAAGAGGAAGTAACATTTTTGCCTATTGGTAGGCCTACATGGTGATCTTCACTATTCACTTTTGAAGTGTTGAAGAAGTAACTGGAGAAAGCCTTCGCAAATACATCAACTGGAGACTGTTTTTAAGTCCCAAGTAAGCCAAAAACAGTAAGGGAAATGTTCTGAAGGATACTATACATTGAATGCAGAAGATGACAGCCGATTTAACATGTTCATGAATTTTCTCAAGGATGTGTTGGGCAATGAGAAGAAGGCGAGAAAAACTGTGTCTTTGGAAAAGTAAAACACAGAGACCACTTTAGATACAAAGCAAACATCAAGGCTAAGAATGGTTTTGTCCCAGTGCCAAGTTAAATACTGGCTGCCTGCTTGAAGTGCACAGAGTTCATTTGCACTTCATGCTGTAATGATGACAATCACAAAGGCCAACTTAGCTAACAATGAGTGTAGTGATGTCATGCCTAGCCACATCTGCAAGGCAAGGGTTAAATTCCAAGACAGGCAAACTGGTGCAGGTGCTGGAAACAGGTGTGCTACTCCAAGAAGGGATGTTTGGACTTCAGGGAGGGTAAAAACAGATGAGCACAATACAGAGTGGGGGGAGGGGTCAGGCTGGCTGACAAGGACAGCTGCATACATTTTGATGGAACCCCCCCCTGGCTGACAAGGACAGCTGCATACATTTTTATGGGAAAAAAACCCCAATAATCTGTTATCTAACAGTGAAACCAAAAACTGCCACTTTTGTAAATGGAACCATTATCAGGGATCACAAGTCTGCGGAAATCCTCTGCATAAGATCCAAATGCTCACTACTTGTATTAATAAGAGTATTGTGTGGACAGTTTCCTTGCAACTTCAATAGTCAGTATCTTGTTTAAGAGGTGACATCCATGCTGTGAGTTTCAGGTCAAAGACAATGGGATGAAGAACCAATATCAATTCTCTTGAGGTGGCATCAGACCACAGAGATAGCTGATGAAGGATACTGAATTATTACAATCACAGAGGCCAAAAGGAGAAGTTTCTTAAGAGAAGCATTGCTTTCATTCTCACCTTTCTGGTAAGAGAGCATTTGATGGATGCTATTTTTTCTGTCCTCTGGCACAACAACAGCAGCAGCATGGTTGGGTATCAGAGTGGCTTTGTGAAGGTAGCATGGCAAGGCGGAACAAGGTGTCATTTACCAATACTACTGGAGTGGCTTTGTGAAGGTAGCATGGCAAGGTGGAACAAGGTGTCATTTACCGATACTACTGTAGAGCAGGGGCCCCCAACCACCAGTCTACGGCCCAGTTCCAGGGTCCCCAACCACCAGTCCACGGCCCAGTTCCGGTCTGTGGCCATGGCAGGATGCATGCACTCCCCCCACCCACATGCACGGGTGCCCCACTCACCTGTGAGCATGCTCTGCCCATCTGCGCAAGCACACTCCACCCACCAGCGAGCAGGGGTGCCCTGCCCCCCATGCATGGATCCCAACCCCCCAACTGATCCGTGGTTCAAAAAAGGTTGGGGACCACTGCTGTAGAGATCTAAATCTTGAAGTAAGAATGATGCTGACGTGGCTCAGGATATGTTTCAAAGTTGAAATAATCAACCAATCATCTTGATAGGAAAACAGCACTATGCTCTATTTCTGCAGATATGTAGCAACAAGTTCCACAGTGTTACTAAATGCCCTCAGAATGACAGATGATTAGACCTTGATGTTACCAAGTGCAGTCATAAGGGATGGGAGGAATGCACAATGACATGGAAATAAATGTTTGCCAAACTTGTTGTGGCAGACTAGTCATCTTCCTTGAGAAAAAGTCACAATCCTGAATTACTTCATGGCAACAAACTTATTGGCACTGTGCAGACTAAATATTGGTCTCTTCACTATTGTGAGGGACCATGAAAAGTAGCAAAAAAGTGATGTGGATCTGGCAGCACCGATTCTTATGTCTAACAAGTTGTCATTGGTCTCTTCGAGCAGAACTACAAATGGAGCAGTCAAAGGAGTTGATCAACTTCTGTAAAATAACTGCAATGGATGATGGGGAGAACCCAATGATCTGATGTGTTGCTAGGCCTTGAAATGCACAAGTGTGGAACCAAAAAAGTGCTGGTGGGGGTGTGTGGATAGGGAGAGGAGGTGCTGACAAACAGAAGAGAGGAGTAAAGAAGGATGAGGAGTCAAATGGCACATTTTATAAGAAGACTGCATTGATGACTGGGCAGTAGTTAGCCTTCTTGTGTGATGCTAACTGCTGCTCAGCACTGTTGCAGCTAGATGGTTAATAGTGTCACTAAGACTGTAATTTGAACTAGTTGGACAGACAGCATAGTAATAAACCTAAAATGACATCAATCTTACAAGCTGTGTTCCATAATTCATAGTCAGTATATAATTTTTCATCTGTCTTCTCTGACAGTCCAAGACATGTCCCCTACCTTCATTCAATTATCCTGGGACCCAGCTGAGGACTTGAGTCACAAGTTACAACATACAGTCAGAGGGCCCACGAAGGCATGTCCTGCTGAGTTACTACTCTGCTGTTGGGAGACATTCTCTGCTCCATCAAAGAAGAAACAGACAACTTCCTTTTTGTTATCCGGTCAGAAATCCATTAAGCTTCTAGCTTCACCCCAAAGGAACAGTAGGAATCCACCCACGTAAAGCCTGTTGATTTGCATTTCTGAGATTCAAGAAAATCCTTTTTTCTTTATACAGAAGACCATGATAACTGACTTGACCACTGGGTGCTTTGAGAAGAACTTGCTGAAGTCCTCCTATATAGGCTATCCATCTGAGAGGAAGTTATTGGGGTCAACCATAGTTTTTGCCATGTACTCTTTGCCAGTTTTCATTAAAGAACACAACATGGGGAGTGCCACAGGTGCATTATCTGAAGTGTACATTACTGAAAAGAGTGGATCATCCTCAGGAGGAACCTCTTGTCTATAGGGGATTTGTAAAAAAAAAAGCCTTTTGAATCTGGATGTCCAATGGGAACTGCAGTCCTTTGAAGCGGACAATGGAAGCTGATATCAACATTAGGATGCAATGACAATGACTCAATATGACCTGATGCGTGCATCAAAGATACTGAAGCAGCATCTACTGTAACTTATGGCCAGACTGTAAATATCAAAGCATGATGAGTGGAGAGGGGCGGAGCTAGAAACAGTGAGGCAGCAAGAAATCTGGGCTCTCCAGAATTCTGCTGCATGCCGTGAATCCAGGCTCCCCCCCTCAAGAAATTGGGGGGCAGGGAGGGCCAGGAGGGGCCACCCTGAGTCGTAGGAGAGCTGAGATTTCCTGGGGGGGGGTTGTGTCAGTTTCAAAACCAGTACTGAGCTGGAAGACGCTGTCAACGCCACTGAAGAAGATACGAAGAAGAGGATGTGAAGTCCTGGAAACTTACACAAGGAAGAAGTATCTCAGATGACTTACAGACTGTGAAAACGGCTTCCTCAACCGGATGCAACTTCATGGAACAATAGGATTTGGGGGAGTTAGATTTGAAAAAGACCTGCAGATTCCACACACCAAGATGTTGTGCTCTTTACTAAGACAGAAGAGACACTTGTCATAGGATTTTGTGAGGGGCATCTTTACAGATGATACAAAGGACTGCTGTGGCCTTGTGGGGGGGGAAGAGGAAAGATTTGTTCTATACGAAACGTTTTCAAAAGATGAACAGAAAAGGGGAACTGTAAAAAAGGAAAGTAACAATAAGATGAAAGAATAACCACAAACTGCTCATACATATTAGCTGCTCTCTGTGGGATTTCCAACTATGTGCTGCTGAACCGATGAACAGTCTGTGCAGGTATGGATTATAGGGAGAAAGGCTGGGCTACCTCCAAACTTCTCTTCATCGATAAGGTCCCAAACCATGGATGGCACCACACAGGCGTGTGCCAACACTCATTATTCACAGAGCCCACGAGGAGGAAACTCTGAGATGCATATACTTTCAGAACATGTTTACTTGAATTAATGTGTCTAGTTTTCAAGCTCATTCATTATGCCTGTGTAAGTATGTATATACATTTAAAAAAACCCTCTGAAGGACAAGGATAGGGCTTCTACGCTCAGTCAATCAGTTTTGAAGTACTGTACTATGATGAGCAGACAGATAGTTCTGATAAATTAGGCAGCACATTCTTATATTTAAACTATTTTTAACTATTTTTATTTTTTAATGGTTACAACATAACCATTGTAGATAGTAAGCATCATCTCAAGCAAGGCATTCTCTCCTGTGTGAGGCAGAAAACCACCAAGAGCCTGTGACAACATACAGTATATGAGCAACATTTAAAGATCAAGCATGCGTTTTCAAAAAACAATTCATGGAGATTTCATAATAGAAAATTTAAAATTAATGCTTGATAATCTGAATGTTATTTACCTTTGGCAACAGTCCCTCCTAAATAGAAAAGTCAGATTTTTTTTAACATGCAGACTGCATCTGCCACAGTGGGTATGCTCTGAGAAGATGAAATTCCCTCTAGTGAGAGATGCAGGAATGCCTCTTCTACGTTGGAGTTTGCTTCACCATTGCTTTTGCAAAACCATTCACTTAAAAAAAAATCTGCCTGATAAATCAGGGAGATTTTTTTTAAAAAAACTGTGAAAAATACTCACCCACATCAGCATGTTTCAAAGCTCCTACATCATTGGTTCCATCCCCACACATCAGAGTCACATAGCCAAGCCCCTTCAGAGTTGTGATCACAAACTCCTGCAATGGAAAGATCTATCATCCAAGGGACCTGCCATGGTCGAAATAGGAGTCTTGTCACATTGCTGATGTTTATCCCACTGTGAATATTTATGGAGTACAACTACATGGGATTTGCTGCATCCCCATTTAAAGCTGGTAGTCACATTAAAATGAGTAGTGGCTGGTTCTTTTGCCTCAAGAATTCAGCAGATTGGACTATTGTAACCAGGGGCGGGGGCAGGCAGTTGAAATTTTCAAGTAAAGGTATGAGTCATCAAGAAAACTAGAAAGAAGATACCATGGATTTAGCAGGGTGTCAAAGACCTTTTCAGCAACTGGACTGAACTGTTGAAAAAAGCTTTGTTCTCCAAAGCAAGGATAAGGAACCTGCAGGCTGCTTAGTTTCCCTGTGTGGCCCTTGGAGGTCCTCCCCAATTCTCTTTCAACACTAGGAAAAGCCTGCTTCCTGCTATCTAATGTTGGGAGGAAACACCCTTGTTCTTCTCTTTCATGACTGATCAGAGAAAATAGCAGGAATTTCTAGCAACTAGAAAAGCAGCTTCTCCATGCACAGAAAACAGGATCCCTCTGTTGTCAAGGCTGCTTTAAGCTCTGGAGGAGGGGGCATGTTGTAAGGCATTAAGCATGACGAGAGGAAGACACTCCTTCGTCTAAAGCAGAACAATCTTTTTTTTTTGCATGCAGCAAAGGGGGAATCACCTCTTACCTTCTGCTTGGGTGCAACACGTGCGAAGACTTGCACGTGTGGAATGAGCCTCAGCAACAGCTGTGAGTCCACAGCCTGCAACTGAGAGAGACCCTCTCCTGTGACACACAAGTTGTGGTTTTGGGTCAGCTCCGGCAGAGAAGGTGGGATGATTGGGAAAGTGATGGCGCCGCTGATGGACTGCCACTGCCAACTGGAACCTGGAACAGAGAGGTTTCTTTAAAGGGTGGGGGCATCAAAGGTTGCTGCCAAGTGTGTGCAGGACCATTCCATGGAAGAAAGCCACTCTGGGCTCTTTCCCTAGGCTGTGAAACTCACGTCCCCCTTCCACTCCTTCTCCGCGCAGATACAATGTGGCTTACATACATGCCCAGTATTAAATCAGTCAAGACGCACTAACATACATTGGTTCTTTCTTGTCTCCTGCTCCTGACACAAAGAGTCACTTATCTTATGATACATGCCCAGTATTAAATCAGTCAAGACACACTAACGTACATTGGTTATTTCTTGTCTCCTGCTTCTGACACAAAGAGTCACTTATCTTACGGAACATAGGAGCTGCATTTACACAGCGCATGGCAGCAGGATGCTATGATGTACAGGGACTGCTGAGTGTCTCCAGCGGCAGACTAAGGACAGAAGAAGCCTTATCAAAGGAACTGAGCGACACTGCTGAATAACTTGAATCCACCTATGCACTTTGGACTTCTAAAGTTGATCATAAAACAAGCTCTGTGTGCACCGAGAAAAGCTGTAGTCTTTGATTGTCTGTTATGCCCCATTTATCTTGCCTCTCTTGCACCATAAAATGGCAAAGAGACATGTGGGACACACCCAAATTCCAAACCCTAGAAATCTTGTTCAGCCACTACTGAGACATACCAATCTGTTAGCTGAAGGACAGGATTTTTGATTTGGGAACAGAAGGTTGTCGGCACAGTCCCCACTCTGATTCCATATAGCCGAGAGAAGGAGGGATCAGGTAAAAAAGCCAATAAAACCAGTGAGGGTTTTTTTAAGTGATTGCAAATCTCTTTCCATTTGTGCAGAGCCTTTATCTAGTGGGGGAAAGCTTAAAGCACAAAGAGTCACTTATCTTACGGAACATAGGAGCTGCATTTACACAGCGCATGGCAGCAGGATGCTATGACGTACAGGGACTGCCGAGTGTCTCCAGTGGCAGACTAAGGACAGAAGAAGACTTATCAAAGGAACTGAGCGATACTGCTGAATAACTTGAATCCACCTATGCACTTTGGACTTCTAAAGTTGATCATAAAACAAGCTCTGTGTGCACCAAGAAAAGCTGTAGTCTTTGATTGTCTGTTATGCCCCATTTCCTGACACCAAGTTCTTAATCTAAAACTTCAGCCACCTCGCATAAAGCCTGGGAGGGTAACAACAGAGTTTCACTGATCCCAGTAGAGTTTGTCTCTTGTTTAAACTCTTAGGGAAAAAGGAGAACTTTGGATAAACACAGGTGGGGCTAGGTTTAAATCCCACAAACTGGTATTGGTTGGTCCCAATCTTTATGGAGCCACATGAATTTCTTTCAGAATAAAGAAAACTGGGTATGTGGCTACACAGCGTGTAATGTGACCCCGAGTTGTTTCACTGGAAACTATGCGTACACCATCCCCAATAGGAAATCCAGCATCAAGTTCCTAAGTCCACGAAAAACACAGCTCTCATTCACTCCAGGATCTACCTGCCCCCCCTTTTACCTTTACTGCTGGGTGGCTGCAAAATGAGTGTCTGCTCTTTTTGGGTAAAGTGCAGCTCTTGGGCCACATGGCACGCCGTCAGTGGGTTGTCACCTGTTATCATCACTACCTAGAAGAAGAAGGGAGAAAAAGGGCTCATACAACCACTTTCTGTTGCTGTACATACACATGTGCTGCCTTGGCTGAGCTAAGCAGGATTGGAAATGTGTTTTCGAAACACTTCTAATCAACCACATTTTGTACAGCATGCACGGAAATCAACATTACGGCATGCTGATCTTCTTCAGGTATCGTTCAGTGCATGCTTCTGTTGGTGCTCTTTCTGAACAACCATCCATCTGTCGAACCAGCACAACAAAATGGGGAGGTGAATGAAATCGACTACTGTTTCTCCCCGCTCTCCTGAGAGAAGTCAAATATTTGCAAAAGAAGAGGAAGTACAGTGGTGCCTCGCTTAGCGATTGCTTCGTTTAACGATGTATTCACTTTGCGATGGGTTTCTTTGAGGAAATTTCCCCATCGTTTAACGATGTTCTCTATGGGGGAATTTCACTTAACGATGTCCGTGTTTGCTCATTTAAAAGTGTCTTAAAATGTTTGAAACCTGTTTTAATTGCTTCTACTTGAGAACAGAAATCCAAGATAAGAACAGGAAAAAAAACCTTTCCTGCTCTTTTTTTAACCTTAGGTCATCTTAGGTTACAAAAAATTCTCCCCCTAGTGGTAGAGTACGTATTAACCAGCTTTGCATTAGTTTCTATGGGAACTAATGCTTCAATGTACGAACGCACCTCTACATAACAAAAAAACAGCCAGAACGGATTAATTGGTTTTCAGTCCATTCCTATGGGAAATTTTGCTTCAACTTAAGAACGTTTCAACTTAAGAACACCATTCCAAAATGGATTAAGTTCTTAAGTAGAGGTTCCACTGTAGTTTCTATGGACGGAAAAGAGCAGATACGGATTAAATGGTTTTCAATGCATTCCTATGGGAAATGGTGTTTCACTTAACGATGTTTTCCCATAGCAATGTGTTTTTTGGAACCAATTAACATCGTTAAGCGAGGCACCACTGTATTCTTATGGCTTGGGTTCAGCAATGCTCATTTAAATAAATGTTTAAGGAGCAGCCTGCCTCAATACAGTGGGGTCTCTACTTAAGAACTTAATCCGTATTGGAAGGTGGTTCTCAAGTTGAAAAGTTCTTATGTTGAATCTGCATTTCCCATAGGAATGCATTGAAAACCATTTAATCCGTATCTGCTCTTTTCCGTCCACAGAAACTACAGTGGAACCTCTACTTAAGAACTTAATCCATTTTGGAATGGTGTTGAAACGTTCTTAAGTTGAAGCAAAATTTCCCATAGGAATGGACTGAAAACCAATTAATCCGTTCTGGCTGTTTTTTTGTTATGTAGAGGTGCGTTCATACATTGAAGCATTAGTTCCCATAGGAACTAATGCAAAGCTGGTTAATACGTACTCTACCACTAGGGGGAGATTTTTTTTTTTTAACCTAAGATGACCTAAGGTTAAAAAAAGAGCAGGAAAGGTTTTTTTTTCCTGTTCTTATCTTGGATTTCTGTTCTCAAGTAGAAGCAAAATTTAGCAAATGGAGCTGTTCTTAAGTTGGATTGTTCTTAAGTAGGGACGTTCTTAAGTAGAGACCCCACTGTAGTAAGATGCTGCTGGGAAACAGTAGCAGAGGAGTACGGTATTCATGCCAATTTGTGGGTTTTATTGAGGCATTTGGGCTGGTCAGATGACTTATCTGATCCAAGAAGAAGCTCCTTTACCTTATCTTTCCTTAAGCTGATGAAGTGAAGGCTTAAAAGCAGGGAGAACTCTAAACTCAGGAGGAGAAGCAAACGAGAAAATCCTTGTGGGCTAAGAAGGGGGGGCGAACAAGAGATCAGATCATTGCAAAGCCTGTATGTCACATGATCCATGCCTGTCTTCTTGTGGCAGCGGGACTTAATCCACTCATAAATGGCTCCTTCCTGAAGACCAAGAACTCCATCCTCTCACTGGCATTCTGCCAGAGCTATGCTTTGCTTTACTTGGATGGTAAAACGCTGGCCCCAACAAAGCAAAGCATCCTTTCTGATCAAAACCAAAGCAAAAGGAAAGTGAAAACCTCCAGGAAAAGGTTAGGAGAGGGGTTGATAAGTAGGAGAATGAGGAAAGCAGCTGGACATTGCGTGCAGGCTTGCTCGTCCGCTTGCCTAGGACTCCCGTGTCTGTGTCTTCCACAACATCTCAGCCAGAACCTCTCTCCCTTTCACTCACATGGTGCGAGGCATTCAAGATCTCACGGATCACTGGCTTCGAGTCCACTTTAAGAGGGCAAGACACCACAATGAAGCCCACGAACCGCAGATCACATTCAAGGACGTCCCTCTTGATCTCTCGTGCCTTTGGATGAGAAAAAGAACCCCGGTGAGCCCATCTGATGACATTTTTGTGGTCACTCACCAAGAACTTTTCATGGAAATTGACATCCTGATTTTAGGCCAACCCTGAGAAAGCTCCCAAACACATATGTGGGGGCACTTTGTAAACTTGACCCCCTCAGAGCTCACCTCAGAATACAGAATGTGCAAAGAGAACCCAGGTTCCATTCAGACACGTTTTGGGGATAGCTTGGACTACAGATGATTTGCTACTGTGTGAGGAACTATTTCATATTGGTAGTGAGAGTCACTGGATCACAGACAAACACTACCAGTAGTAGTGATGGCCAGACCCAGACACACACACAGCCACCATGAAATTCACAGCCAAAGCATCTCTTTGAGCTTCTCCCACATGGAGAAGGGCTGCAACATATCAGACTGCACTTCCAGGAAAACACACCCTCAGTTATCTCTGATCATTGATTCGAGGCAATATGAATGCCTCTTCTGCTTGGGGCTTCAGGAGGTATCCTCCACAGAACTTTGATTATCCTGAGCTAACACTCCACTTCTCAGAACCTGATCAGGAGGCTGTCATGGAAAACCCAGGCTGCCCTCTCTATCTGACTGGCCAGTGTTAGCTACCAGGTTCTCTCATTTTACTCCTCACGAATTGCTGCTGCCGCCTAGCCTCTTCTTCTGAAGCCCCAAACCACCTGGCGAACACCAGATTGCCCATCTCGGTTCTCAAGATATCCCTCCTTCCTGTGTCGGCATGTTTCAGAGGGACAGGGACTGTAAATGCCGACCCCAGTTGCATGTGTTACCACATCTCCTCCCCACACCTCAATAATCAATCATTTTTAAACCAAGAAAGCCTTGCCCCCAGGGTCTCAAAGGAACAGTTTCACTCCCCCTCCCCACCCTTGCTCTAAACTCTCCTCCTTCGCCTGCTTTAATTGTAAACACCTCATGGGAGAACTATTATCTCTTCTATGCCCAGAATAGCAAACTTGACCATTCTGAGTGCTGAATAAACAATCTTCCCACAAGGCTGCCCTTGCTAATTCAGAATGTGAAAGGCTCCTGCTTAAAATGCACAAGAAAAGCGGTTTCAGGTTGTGCTAGAAGTCAGGATCTGCTTTGCTGGCTTTGTGTCATCGGTCTCTGTGCCCATAAAGTTTCTTGGAGCTCCTCCCTGAAACTGGCCAGGAAAGAATAGCCCCTAAAGAGCACTGTAAACACCTGGATGCACTCATATAAGCTGGCTGTTTGTCCAACAGAAAAATAGAGAAAAATACTGGTATGTCTGTGCATGTTTATTTATATGATTTACATTTGTTTTGAATTCAACCAATTTTTTTACAATTAGTAACATAATTTAGTTTGTATTCTAACATTATCTTTTATTTTGATCTGTTGCTGGAATCCTACTAGTTGGATTAAGATAATTTGTCACATAACTTGTTGCAGCTGATTGCAGCTGACTGACAAGGTGCTGGGGCACACCTTGGTCGTGCAATCAGGTGCAGGATTAAGCATGCAACTGAGATGCACCCCTGTCTCTCATCCATTAGCTGCAAAGCAGATTGCACAAACCTTAGAAGACCACCAATTCTGCCCTGTTTGTGTTTTAATCTTGTCATTAGCCACCTTGGGTTTCACTTCTGGGATAAAGGTGGGATCCAATTCAGTCCATCCATCCATAGAGTGCTCTAGCCTGTCTCCCCTGTTTAAGGGATGGCTCTCGAAGACACTGAATATGAAGAAGTCCACAGCATGCAGTCAATCTTCTTTCACCCTTGCTTTGAGCTGGGGCATATGAACTAGGGAGACCCTGGATCTGACACATACAGATGGATCTCCTGTAACAGCAGCTGCCTGGCAGTGCTGGAGGAACATACTAGCTCATATCCTTCAAAAGGGGGAAAATGGGAGCCTACCTGTTGATGTGTAAGATGCCCCAACTCCTTGTAGCCAAGCGCCAGAACCCTGGCTCCTTCACGTGAAATCTCTGTATGGATTGCGTTGTAGCTGTTTGGACATTGAGAGAACTGCACAAGAAAAGAAGGGGAGCAAGAGGGACAGTCAACACAGACCTCTGACCCAAGGAAAACTTGCTTTGGACGACAAAGTTCAGAGTAACCAAGCTACTGCCTGTGTAATTCAGTCCTAGCAATATACAGATATCAGCCCCCTTATTAAGCAAATGGGGAAAACCTATCAGTGCTACTGCATCTTTAAGCAGGGTGGGTTGGCATATCATTCTCCCAAGCCACCTTGAGTCCCTTCATCAGGAGAAAGCTGGCCTATAAATAAGCAAATAAATTTATTGGAGGATGCCAGCCGAGGGAAACTATGAGAACTATAGCCCAATATTAGCTGGAAACAATCAGATTTGGAAAGCTCTGCATTTTAGACATAAATGGTAGATGTCTCTGCTACCTCTCCCAGCAGTTTATCATACAGAGAAAATAAGAAGTAATTAGACACATAAAAAGCAATTATTTAGGCCTCATTTGCTGAACTCATTCTAATGTACATTCTGAAATAAAAAAATATGTCTCCCTCCCTGAAGCACTTAGCATTTGAGGGTTCCCATCTCATCCGGCTACATATTACATTTCATTTGTTTTAATATTTCTAGAGAAAGTTAACATACATAAATGTGAATTTCGTTGTATGGTATACTGTGTATATACTTACAATGACAATAAATTATATTATTATTATAAATCTAAACACAATATATTTGTATTAAGTGGTAGTGTCAGGTATGGGAAAAGAATCTACAGGGCAGGTTCCATCTTCAGTATCTCTTTGATTACTACACACCAGTGACTAGATCCATTATATTACCACCAGCAGAAAAAGAACAACAGAGACGTATGATGATAATTAATTCAACCACCACTCCAATTATCTTCAGGTGTCTGCAAAACTGGTAATCCACTTTACAATAAAGTGTACTAGAAGTCTGCAGCCAAAATGGTGGACAATTTCATGTAATATATCAGGTGGACTCAGTTCTGGGAGACTGTCCTCCTCACCAAACCATCAGCCCTGTACCTCATCCTACACCCAATTCACTTCTTGCCTTCCTGGAACTTAGCAGCCCACCTCCTGGAACTTCTTCCCAGCCATCAGACTGCCTTGAAAAGCTCAGCCCAAGGCCTACAGGAAGTCATTTTCCAGGAATGGGGAACTGCCAGCCTCTGGCTCAGACTCGACCCATATCATGGTCTCGTCTGGCCTACAGCTTCCCCTTCTTACCCCATGCTTCAGGCTGAACAGCTAAGCATTTCCATTTAAGATATATGGCAAATCATCACCAAGTACAGAAGCCAAGAAGAGAGCATAGTATGAAAACATGGTCCTTTCTTTGATACGTGAGGCTTGTACTTCATCTCCCTACTGGTTCAGATTCCTTTTCAGATGTCTTCATTTTATCTTGGCTTCCCTCCCCAATGCTCTACTAAGTGCCTCCTTCCTGACAATCACCAACAAAAAACTAAAGGAGAGGAGGAGGTCATTTCACCCACTTTTAACTCTGGTCCTGCCTACCATGGGTACACAGTCCCCAGAAGAGCAGGCAGGCACAGATAGTTCCTCACCCCCATTTTTGATCACAGTCAAAGTGTTCCTTCCATCTTAAAAGCTAGATTGCAAATCTTTCCAACAGCTTTCTTTAGTGAACAGCTGGAACACCTTTGAACACTCTGCACCATTCCATCTGTTTAGCGACATAAATACAGATGTCAAGTAGGTTCACATCATATGTATGGATAAAAAATACGACAGAATTAACTGTAAGCATCCCTTCCCCTTCACCAGAAATTAAACTGAGCAGCACTTAAAATACAGATTCACAGGCTGTGCGTCCTATTTAATGGAAGGCCAATCCACAGTGTCTTCTTGACTGAAGTTTCCATTGTTGACGTACCATGGAAGCAGAAGACACCTGAATCACCACGTCAGGCTCTTAAAATATTTGTGTACACCCATGCACAGGACTTCCACAAACATTCATTCTTTAAAAAAACTGACTTTATTGAGATGATTACTATTTCTTTATTTTTAATTTTGATTTCTATTCTTTTCTCAAAATGGGATTCAATATGGCTCATTCAGACAATTTTTTAAAAATAAGGCAAATCACAAAGAATAGGTCTTCTCTTGACAATTGGACATCACAGCTAGATTTACTCTCAGTATTCAGAGTCAATATAGCTTACATTAGCAGTGGGGGCAGCAACCAGAAGACTGTGGCTTTAATCTTGCCCTGCTTTCAGGCAGCATCTTACCAGTCTCTGTGGCGCTGAACCATGTTCTGAACCAAATTCAGCTTGATTAATTCTACCATGAAATTCCCTAATATTGTTTTGAAAAGCTAGTGGTTTTCCAATTCCTTTTAATGACCAGTATTCTGATAGAATTACTGTATGCAGTCATACTGGTTGCCTCACTGGTTGCATGACAGATAATCCTGTAAAATGGCAAAAATCACTTAGGTGATTGCTTTTGTGAGTGCTTCTAAAAATCCATTTGGCAAGAATTCCCAAATGGAAGCAATGTAAGTGCTCTCCTTCTTACCTGCTAATAGCTAATAAGGGACTATCTGTGAAATTTGTATTCTACAGAGTTTTTTGTAGGAAGGATCTAGATTTCAGAAACCACCCTCACTAAAGAGCACAACTGGGACTTGCTGTCATCCCCTACTGACACAGGCATGTTCTCTGACCTGCCCAAGCCGAGGAGTGAGGTGCTCATCTAGAACTACTTCAATTTGTGACACAGGCAAGGACTTATTCTCTTGACAAGTGTAAGCCACTAGGCCCAGAGAGAAAAGTTCTGAGAGGCCAGGAGCCATTTATGCCCTCCTTGGGCAAAAATTATTCTGAAGGCTCAGCAGGACAGGCACCTCTAAGTGATAGGCCTGGGGAGGCAAAAAAATAAATAAATCATTTAACTGGCAAAAATTTTGGGTCCTGGATTTGTCACCTTGGTGGCGAAAATTCTTTAGAGGGGGCAACGGGTGAGGGTGTGGGTGTGCAGAAGTCACATATGGCAGCCAGACTGCAATTTATGCACCGCCTTGATTTCCCCTATGCCCACTCATCACTTTGGCACCAACGTGTATTTCATTCTAGGGCGAAAGTGGTAATTGCAGGAAGTCGGGGGGAGGGGGAGAATGCCACCCAACTCCTTTTGCTCACCATGCTGTGCAGCATCTCCGGGGCCCCCTTCACAGTGGCAATGTAACACAGATCAGTGGAGCCGACCTTCTCGTAGGAAGCCAAGACCGACATTCTTTTCAGGGCACTGGCAAAATGAAAGCGCTGGTGAATTTTCAGTCCCTGAGTTTTAATACTTCGGGGGAAAACTTTCTCATCTGGAAACAAAGAGATCGGGAAATCCTGAAAGGGTTCAACAGCACCACAAGCAGCAACCCCCCCCCCTTTGGGATCCCTTATGGGGTGGCAGAGAAGCCCTATGTCCTGTGTGGGCACTGTGATCCCTTGCAGGGTGGCAAAGGGGACCTGTGCCCTGTGGGGGATACTTTTTTTATATAGCAAAACAGAAGGAGCATTAGCTCCCTCCTCCCACTTCCTCAGCCATAAGACATACTAGCTCATCCCTTCGTGTGTGCGAAGATGTTTTGCAAACTACAGAAACCAGCAGAGTAGGTCATTCTGAAAGGCTACTCAGACAGTGATCTTAAACTAGTTCCAAATACAGTGAACTGTAGGCAAACATTGAAGGCATTAATAAAAGGAAGCACCTCTACTCACCCAAGACCTGACATTTAAAGACACTGAGTATAAGAATGTATGACTACCATGGACATTAATGCACCTTGCAGGAACTATACAGCTCCAAGACAAATGGTCTGAACACCGAATATGTTGAGAATAGCATTAAATAGAAATGCAGATGACCAATAATCAACACACACGATTGTGGGAATTTTGCTGGGGGAGACCAGATTCAAAACTCTGAGAAAGACAGGTAGTCACACAGGACACTACCAAGTTTCACCGTTTCAGTCTTTGGATCACTCTAAAGAAACTGATCCCTTATTTACAAGCTTACTTCCCCAACCAGAAGGGCTACCGATTTGGTTTTAGAACCAAACATGCAGAAACTAACAGACTTCAATCCCACCAATCCAGATTCTGCTCGGAATGCTCTGTGGAATTCTGCAAGGCTCTCTACCTATTCTTAGTCCCAGGAGGGCTAGTTTTTCTTCTATTCCTTACTTGGAAAGTATTTGTAATCTTCAGGATTTACAGGTTTGAGGCTGACTTGAAACAACACATTAACAAGCCACTGACAGAGCTATACCCGACTCATGCTTGATTCTATTGCCATCTGTGGCTCACAGGAGACAAAGAGACCATCCTAAGTGAGAAACAGTATGAGCAGGTTTTGGATCATCCAGTTACTGTGGGAACTTCATTCATCACTTGGACAATGTGAAGATCCAAACCCATTGTCTCTTTTTGTCCTTTCTTCTGAAACAGGCTCAGGCACAAAGTTTGCATAAGTCTAGCTTAAGACAGAATAAGGGCAATTACACTCTTATGGGCCAGCTGTTCCTTGGAAAAGAGGGATTTCAGACCCCTGCCTCCAATAAGCAGACAAAAGGTGAAAACAAAGGATGTGGTGTAATTCAGAGGCCAAGCCTGCTTACCTTTGGTCACAGTCCATTCCACGGCAGTCAGCATGGCTTTCTCTAAGGGGTCGCCCACCAGCGAGCCATCATCCAGTTGCATTAGGGAGTGACATGTGGCAATGACGCGGTGTGTCTCAATAGGAATGTCTGACACAGGGGTCACATCTTTGCTATCTCTGCAGTGACAGCAAAGGACCAAATTTACACAAACAGTTACACCCGCTCACAAAGAGCTTTTAAGGAAAAAGGATAAAAATATTTTAAATTTTAAAAAAATTTCAAAAGGTATATGTAGTGTTTGCTTTCAGACACAGTTTTTTCAGTCTTCAAATCTACGATTTCAAGTATCAGGAGCAAGCAATGAGCACTCCCTCCTCCTCCTGCTGAGTAAACTTTCACTTAAAATTTGTGTTTATTTCTTCAATTCACTGGCAAGCTGTGGTTTGATCAATTATGCTGCACTACTAATTTCAAACCAAGAACCATTTCATAAGGCCAACATTTGGCTTGCTTTTAATCTGTGCAGACTTTCAGTCCAAGTTTTTGAAAGCAAGAGAAGCACCACATGTCAGTTTAATGCAACACTATGCCTGGGCACCCTGGCCAACTAACAATCAAAATTGTGCAAAGCAAGAACTGTCATGCAAATAGGACAATTTGTACTGATTACAAAATTCAGCTTCTACACTGTAGAACTTAGGTGAGGGTGATACAAAGATAACTTATTTTTAAAAACATGTTAAGCATACAGTGGATGACTGCCCCTTTCAGATACACGTATTATTACTTCAAAGCATATACAAAGCAATAAAGGAGGTGCAGAAGTCAGAGTGTCCAGGATGGTCCTACGCAGACCTACCTGAGTCCAGCCACACCCCTCACCACAAGATTGTCACTGGTGAGTGTGCCAGTTTTGTCAAAGCAGCAAATCTGAACTTTGCCTGCAAACGGGATGCGGAATGGCTCTGTGCAGTAAACATCTGCAAGGTAAAGAAGAGCTTGTCTGTGTATTTGTGTTTGTGTTAAGACAACACAGCAGCCTACACTTCTCTGTTTTGTCTTCCTTATCCCTATATTGACCCACCTGCTGCAGAAACCATTCAAAAATATATTCTCTCTAGATAACCACAATTATCACTCCCTCTGTAGAGAGTCAAAGGAGAAATGCGAGTGTGGAGGAGCAAAAGTGAGAAGGGAAACTGATTTAGCCTTGAGTCCCTTTATTGGGAGAAAGTGGTCTGTAACTAATACAAATAAATAAATAAATAAAATTACTGCAAAACGTCGTTTGCACAAGGCTATTTGGCAGTTAGAAAATGCATCTAACTAAATGTAGCATAATTCTGTTTGGAAAAGAACATGGTGAACAGAGAAAAAAAGGGAGCAAAGACATCTTTATGTCTAGTGCCCAGTTCTGGTAAATACAACCGTTGAAATTGATATAAACAGGCAATACTGAGATTTTTTATTCAGTATTTTCAGACAGTGAATAAGGGAATAAGCAGATACTGATCCTGCAGATAGCGGGGTCCTACTGTATTTATATAGACATATTTTGCTGCATCTTAAGTGCCTCGGATCTGATCCCAAACTGTGGCAGAAAGCAAGCTGGAGATCACAGCCAGAGTCCAAGCTGATCCAAGCAGAAAGAACCCCACAACTATGTCAGCAGCACCAAGGGCCAAGGGGCCATCACCACAGCAACGAAGATGAAGCTCTCAAGCCAAAAGGTGATGATGAAAACCTTCAAGCCCTGATAGCAGATATTTTAAATGAAGCCCCAATATGCCAAATGCTTTCCCTACAGGTATGGCTAAACCTATAATACAACAGGTGTGTGAAATGGAAGGAGAATAAAGCTTCGCTCTAGGTGATTTAAGATGCACAGAAAACCAAGGGAGATCCCTACCCTAATGCAAATCTGCTTCATGGACAACATGAAGCCCAGCAACCCTTGCGAAAGCCCTGTGTCCTGTCAGCTTTCACATAACCAACGCTGTACACTGTGCTTCATTTTAAACCATAACCTTCAAGCATTGCAGGCAATTTAAACAAGAAAACTGCAGAATGCAAGAGATAAGAACAGTTTATATGACAAAGCAGGGATGCTTCCCCCAATGCAAAAAATAAAATAAAATAAAATAATAATGTCATTTTATATCTCACAATTCCGAAGTGTCTAACTGCATTTCTTGACAAGGCTGGAAACTTACACAATTTGGCAAGAGCGATGAGTGAGGTGTTGACGGCCAGGGAGAGCTCAATGGGGAGTTCAGGTGGGACAACCGAGGTGAGGATTAAAGTGCATTCTAGAAAAAGTTTGTAACGGTTCCGGCTTGGGTCCTTGGTACCTTGGAAAGTGGAACAGAGACACATTTATGCCATTTTCCTACTGCACCGATAAGACAGACAAAAAGTTTCACATAGCGTTTTAGAAAGCATCAGAAGGAAACAAAGAATTTACACTGACAAAAAGAAATATCTCAAGACTTATCCGTAATCATGCATTAGGACATGATTTTTGCTCCCTTTTCTTTGTCCTTTATAGCTCTTTTGGGGCAACAGAACAATCAGAGGGGAGGTGCATACAAGATTCAACCCTTTCAAGGACCCATCCTGATAGCATGTCCATTCCACGAAAGATCAACCCGCTATCTGCTGCTTTTAAAAGACCACGGCCCAAGCTTAGAAAGGTTACGAAATACCTTCAATCCACACATATGCTGCAGCAGCAATGGCAAAGACGAGAAGAAACAGAATGAAGATGAAGGTCTCCAAATTGTTGGCTGTCACTCGCTTTACACCAAATAGGATTGTACGCAGAAGCTTCCCCTGAAATGAAAGAAGAAAGAGCTTTCAGTGGTTGGCAAGAAGGGACCTTCCTTGTTGCAGCTACTGAGAGAACAGAGCACATATTATAATGTCATTACTTGCCTCAAGACTCAGAAACAAGAGGGCAACGGAAACAGCACTTTTAAGCACATATGCTGCTAAAACGTGCTTCTCTGAAGCCTCCTCAGTTCAGCAAGAAACAAACCTAAATGTTTTGGTTGACAGCTGCCTAGAAGCCAACTGATCTACCAAAGTCAATTCTTTTAAAAATAAATAAATCAGACTGACCTTCCAAAATTCTATTTTTCTCAAGTTGTTTAAAAACACACAACAGCATCAGCAGCAAGGCTGGAGGCTCATTTTGCTTTTTTAGAAGTACAGGAACTTTGCTCCCCAAGAAACATTTGCCAGAATGTCTGTACTAAGATGAGAAGGCCCTCAGAAAGGTCCACAGTTTACAACAGGACTGGAGAACGTGCGGCCCTTCAGCTGTTGCTGGACTGTTACTCCCACCTGCTCGTCAGCAAAGCCAGTGCTGAAGAACAGATCTGGGAATGAACCGGCAGCTTGGCCGTCACCCCAACGGGTGTTCCATGATGCTGAGCCCCGCCTCCTCCAGCAGGTGCCCACTTGGAGGCACTACCCCAGCTTTACTACTACGCCTTCTCCAGGCACTGAGTGGGCGACTGCCAGAGGAGGCAGGGCTCAGAAGCACATTGGAACTGCGGAACACCTATTGGGCTGACAGCCAAACTGGCACAAACCACCGAACCAAAGATTCGTGCCCATCTCTAGTGAGGAATCACAGGAGCCTCACCGCATAGAGGAAGGCTACATGATCTCCATTCCTAGTTTATCAGAAGCTCAGGTGAGGCAACAATCGAGAATGGAGTCTTGGGTAATCCAGGGCTCCTGAAAGTTGACCTATATTGATAATGACAGTTGATAGAGCTCTCATTCCTCAGTATTGGGTTAAGGAGATTTTGTTTCAGCCACCTTGGATAAGTAGCAAGCCAAGAACCACTCTACTTACCTGAGAGGTATTAAAGCCTGTCCTCAGTACATACGCCACACATCCATTATCAACAGCTGTAAGTGGAGGGCAAGGTAAAAACATTACATAAGACATAAACATGATGATGTGTACAGCTCTATTGGTCATGCTGGGTAGCTTGGGGACACTCTTTCAGCAAGCATGCACACTACAATATTCACTATTGTGCAGAACGAAAACAGATAATTTTCAAGCATAGAATGGCAAAGGCTGGAATAGGAAGCTACAAAATACAGCTGTAATTTTGACCAAGTCTGTGCAAAGCAGAACATACACTTGTGTCAATAAATCCACGGCATATTCTCTCAGGCACAATTTAGCTCAGGTTGGTTTATGTTTGGGGCATTTTTTTAAAAGGAGAGAAAATTGTGCCCTAAATCCAGTTACTAGTCTCAAAAAGAAACCAGTTCAAACAGCAGGGCTCAAGTAAGTGCTGACCTTTCCACAGCTGATTCAACAGTCCTCTACTCTAGCTGGGACTAAAGATTCAGAATCTTACTTTATTGGTGTTTTTAACAGTATCCTCATTCTGTACCATACAATCAGAAATGCACACTGCTAGAAAAGAATATACAGTATATCCAATTTTACACTATAAGAACATTGCTGAAGCTACTTAAGTTTTTATCAAAATGAAGCAAACTTGATTCTATGGCTTGTCTGTTTCCATGACATCTTTCAACAAAGGTCAATTCTTTCATCTCAGTCACCCACGTAGCTGTTATACAACCTCAGCTGTTCTGCCATCATCAACGCTCTTCCTATCTGCCTGATGGCATATGCTCATCAGTTTCCAAATAGGCACATAACCTGAAAAAACTGATTCCAAAGTTCTGCACTAAGGAAGTTCCACTGTAATGGGGAAAAAGATTCATGAAGTTTTAAACACAGGGGTGTTTGTTTCCTTACTGAATTGTTACCTGCCTTGAGCACTTCCCCAAAGAAATCCTGCAGGCAGGTTAACAATAAAATTGAAGATGAAATGAAAGTGCAACATAAAGAACGTAAAAGCATTTCAGAAAAAAGAAAAAATGGCATTTGGCTTGCTAAAACTCTCCTGACAACCGCAGAGCTGAAATGCCATAGACCTGCCTGGACAAAAATAACTTTGGAGCAAGGTCAGTCCCATAGTGTGCCTTGAAGAGGCTGGGGGCAACAATTGAGAAATCTGGGGATAGGCAAACAAATCTGTCAACTCTTCCCCCTCTTTGTCTCCTGCCTGGACGCCCATGGCCAAACTCAAAAGTCGAAATCAAGGATCTACACAAAATAATTGAGAAAATAATGAAATCTCCATGGAATGATTCCTCAGAAACAACACATGCTCTACGAACTTATCCACAATCTGTTGACACTACCCAGGCAGCGACCTACGTTTGAGGCCTGTGCTGGCCTTCTGTGGTGGGATATGCTGTACAACTTTTGTTCCTCCAAAAATGACATGTAACCTGGAATCCATCTGCATGTCCAGGATGTGTTCAGGGTCTAGTTCCTCAATGGGCTCCTGTAAGAGAAAGTGACATTAGAGCTGCCCTCCTTCTCACCATCATTAGGAAAGCACATCCATGAGATATATTTTCACTCTTCTGTATGTTACGAGAGAAAGTAAATATGGATGATGCTCTTGTAGCATAAAGGGGGGAGGGAGCCAAGGTCTAGGGTCCAAAGAACTCTACACATCCCATCATTTCTGGGGTTGTTCCTAAAACCTCAAGGGAGGCATCTGACATTTGACTCAGCGCTGTTTCCTAATCACACTTCAGGGGAAAGGATCTGTTTTGGGCTTTGGGTGAGTGATTTTCATTCCAAGGAGAAGCAGAAATATATTCAGAAGCAGAATACTGAAGAGTATCCCATATTAAGTCTTGCATGACTGAGCTGTCCTTATATTTATCATTTATTTATTTATTTAATTAAAATACCTCTACCCCACTTTTCTCCTCAAAAAGACCCCAGACAGCTTTAAATATTCAAATAAACAATATTAAAAGCTAAAAAAAATAATAATCATTTATTGGAATGTTTTTGTGGAAGGACAGCAAAGAAGCCAACTTCCTATTTTGATGCAGACTGCCGGATGCTGGCTTAGCATTTATATGCTTTGCCACTTTTATAATGTTTAATTTGCTCTCTTTTGTGAAACATTCTGCTACTTGCTTGAAACCTTTGGGATTTGGGAGTGGGCGGGAAGAGTGTCTAAAATTAGAAAAATGTTGGCTGGAAGGGCAGTGGAATGTGACAGGAGGCTGCCATCCTATACAATTACAGTGGTGCCTCGCATAACGAGCACACCGTTTGATAAATCCGCATAGCGATCCGGATTTTGCGATCGCTAATGCGATCGCATACCGATGTTTCCAATGAACAAAAATCACTTTGCGACGATCGGTAAGCGTTTTGCTTACCGATTTTCGCATAGCGATTTTTTAAACAGCGGATCGGCGGTTCCAAAATGGCCGCTGGACGCCCAAAATGGCCACGCGCAGCATTTTTGCGCCCTGCCCTCACTTACCGAGGGCACGAAAATGACGGCGCTATGGAGAAACTTCGCTGAACGGTGGCACTTTTTAGCAATGGCAATGTTCTTATTCCTGCTAATGGCTGAACTCTAGGTCTATATGTCACAAAAGTGCTTAAGCTACATCCAGGCTGAGCTATTCTTTGCCACTGTCTCTTTCTTTCACCCTATTTATATTATCAGGCTGACACTCCAGCTTATAGCTGAAAGAAGGCTCCCATGTGCTTAAGGAGATAGCATATACCATGCATGTGCAATGGACTGTTCCATATACAGTAAACGAGATATGATCTTACCCATAAACAAGTAATACAACACAGAGAAGGACAGACAGAACTCTTATCCTAGACACTGGATTTTCTTAGTGGGAGCATTGGAGTGGGAACACCCTATAACAGATGGTTATAGGGTAGCATTACACCACATGAGCGTACTGCAATCTGAATTGGTTCCACCCAGTCACAGGTTTCTAGTCCACACTATTCAAAGATTCACCCCTCTGTGCCTCAAAGCCCTTTCCTTACTCACAGGAGCCTCATGGTCCAGTGGTTAAACTGCAGTACTGCAATGAAGACTCTGCTTATGACCTGAGTTCAATTGTGAGCTCAAGTAGTTGGCCTAAAATTGATTCAGCCTTCTATTCTTCTGAGGTCAATAAACGGGAGTGCCCAGCTTGCTGGGGTAGGGGGCAATGTGCAGCCTGCACCATTAAATTGTGAACTGTCCCAAGAGTTCACAATGTATACTTCTTTTATATATTGCTTTTGCTTGATTATTCTTGATTTTTATTCTCTACACTTTCTGTGCAAAAACTCTCTTTTCTTCCTCTCACAGATGTCCAACCTGTCTCCTGCTACATAGTCCAATCCATCTGCAAGAGACACTCTTCAGCCTTCATAAGCTCTTGTCCACTCTTCTTCCTTTCTACTCTGTTCTCCTTTGTTGCTATACTTTTTGGAATTAATACATCAGCAAACAATCAGCTGATGCTACAGAAGGTAGTGACCAATGAGTGACAAACACAGACTAACCTTCATCTGGGGCACTGATTCTCCAGTCAACATGGCTTCATCGACGATGCACCTTCCCCTTAGCAGGAGCACATCACATGGCACAAGGTTTTCATGAGGAGAGCGGCCTGGAATTGAGAGCCAAATACTCAGGGGGGGAAATGGTGGACAGTTTGAGGTCTGCACTAGAGGGTAAGGCTGGGACAGGGAAGATCTGGTCCTCCAGGCATTGTTGGACTGCCCTAACCCTCCACAGCAGATTCTTGGGCAGGGAAGAGGGCTGCAAGAGAAGTCCCACCATCCCAGCAGGCAGCAGTAATCCAATGAGGAAAGTAGGCTACCAAGGACCCCCCCTTTCTGCCCAGATGGTCAGCCAAGGCCTGGCAGGTTCACAGAGACTGAGGGATGTCTATAGCAAGAGGTTGAACCTTACTACCAGCAAAACCAGCTAAATCATTTCAAAGATGTCTATCTTCAACAAATAAGGAAGCTGTTACCGACTGACACAAGGTCCCCTGGAATTATCTCATCGCTGGAAACTGGCCGCCACTTTCTGTTTCTGTAAACCTGCAACAGGCAAGAGACAAATGGGTGGCAGGTAAGGTCAGACAGGAGAAGCAACCCATAGTGGATCATCTCAATACCTCTACATTTGCAACCACTTTGTCCAAAGAGTTCCTTAATGAAAATCAGGACCAATTAAGAATCAGAAGTTTACATAAAAGCAAGCCAATTCTTACAAAGGGACTCAGACCTTGTCAAGGAAACCAAATGATTGAACTAAATGGCCTTACCCCTCTTCTCTGCTTTTCCAGATTACTGATCAGTTGCAGTAAAGTAATAAAAAGTGTGCTATGTTTTGACTGAGTATTCAAGTGGTGTTCCAGTCATGAATTGACCAGATTCATGCTGCATGAGAAAAGGGAGGCAACTGCCACACATTTCTGTTGGCTTCCCATTTTTGGATGCTGGACCTCAGAGTTCATCGAATGTTCCTAATGCAAGAGGACCACACACACATCCCTCCCTCACTGGGAGGAAGCTGTAACTTTGTCCAGCCTCTCAACTGCAGCTATGTTCCTGGCCTTCTTGATAATAAAAAGAGCTCCATGAGGATAACAGCTGTAGGTATGGGCCATGTGGGTGGTCTTCATTCATGCTGAGCAGGCAGCCTCTAATGCACGTGGCTGGTGGACATGGCAAAACCTCGAAGTGTAGCCTGTGGGCCCACCTCTACACACTGAATGAGTGTATCAGGAAGGGTCATGGGAGAAAATAGCAGTGTTGACTGAAATGAGTCAGCCTTCAGTAACTCCTCCTCCTTTCACTGGTGATGTGCTGGAACGCCACTTGTGAATGGCTGCTTTGGGAGAAATGAAGGAGGCATACCTGGTGATATTGTAAGCCAGGAGGAATCTCTAGGGGTTGAGAAGCAGCATTCTATAATGAGTCCGGATAAGTAGAAAAGGAGAGGGGTGAACAGGTAAACCACCTGCCCTATCTGCATTCTGTGGCTGAAAACAATTCTACTGTAAACTGCTCAGAGTTGTGCCTTGGCACTAATGGGAGTGGTATAGAAATCAAATAAATAATAAATAGATAGATAGAAGCCCTGGCAAACTTCTAATTTTGCCTCTGTGTCTTGTGGCCATTCTCTCTTTTCACACCAACAGTCTTCAAGTCCCCCCTTCCCCTTTAGAATGACTGCCTCTCTGTTGATAAGGGTACCCTAGGCAACAGGAATTTCCGCATTCCAGAAGCCCTGCATTCCATCAGAATGTCTTCAGATATAAAGGGAAAAAACAGGAGCCATAAAATGTCACCATCTTATAAGCACCTGCCTTCACATACCTGGATCATGTAGGGTTTGTTGCCCATTTTTCGGATTTCTGACATGTTTCTCATTTGCTGCTGGACGAGAGAAGCTTCAAAAGCCACCAGCATGGAAAGGGTGAAAACACTGTAATACCAATAATCATCTAGGCACCATAATCCCACACAGAATACCTTTGGGAAACAGAAATAAATTGCTTGAGCATTGTTACGACAAGATGATTGCTTTGAGAGTTTCAGGGACATGGCCATCTAAAGTCTTGTACAAAGAGATAGCTAGCACAGTGGCTAAGAGGAGGAGTTGGGAAGCCTCTTAAAGCATCAACTTGGCTATTTATATACCAGGTATCCCTATGCAAGTTATATTCTTTTGCTGTCTCAGCCCAAGTCCTTCCTTAGCAATAATCAGTACACTGATATACTGGTCAGAACCAGAAAATTTGCTCTGTGCCCATCAGTGAAAACAGAAGTCTTTTATGGCATACGAAACTGCTCTGCCAACAAAGCCGAGTCTCAAAAACAGCTGGAGGCAAGGGGTGGAGGTGCAAGTTAGAGGCCTGAAGCCAGTGGTGGGGAGAAATACAAGAATTCTACCACCAACCCAAGGCAAGCCCTTTGTTCCTAGATTCATCAGGCCCTCCAGGCACACGCCACAGCCAATGAGGAGGAAACTGGGGTTCCATTGTGTACGATTTGTTATTCACATACACATCTGGTGTTTTGTAGACACCATAAAACTTCAAGGAACATCTTAGTTCTGTGAAAATGATGAAAGCAAGGCATAAAGGTCAGAAGGTTACGTTTAAAACAAATGCCCTGCTTGTTACTTTTCCAAGTAATGTACTGGCATTACTTGCTATTTAAAGGATATTACAATCATGAGAGCGCACCTGCAGAAGCACCGTGCCACCGTTCGCCCATGTGCACGGGCGTGCACACAGATGCAAATAGCCTTTGTGGGGGTGAGTATGTGTGGGGGTGGGGTGGGAGATCTGTCTTCGCGGCCCAGTTGGGATCAGGCTGGGGACTGGCACCGGTCTATGGACCGGGGGTTGACAACCTCTGCTCTAAACACTATAGCTTAGGAGAAACACCATTACTTATAAACATATTACTTCCAAGCTCTGGCAGGATGTGAGACAACATCTGAGGATTGCAGGCCCAACCTTAGTCTACAATCATGGAAGACCAGATAGCAAGGACAGGACAGGAGCTATTTAGGCTCTTCCTTGTCCCTGCAGCTGAGTAAGAAAAAAACCAAACCAAAACCCAGAAACTGAAATATTTGAGGGTATCAATTTACTGTGTCTCATTTTTAGGCAAGTGGCAATGGGGCAGCTGGTGTTTTCTTTTTTCCAACCAGGAAGCTAACTGGGTAACTGAGAACCGTTGATTTCTTAGCTTGTCTGTTGAAACTCTATACCAAGCTGACCAAAACATAGGCCATGGCAAGAACAGGCAGCTCACAGCACCCTAGAAGGCAACAGATTTTAAGAAGAGTAGATTCTGCTTGTAGGGCTGTGTGCTTAAGAAACAGAACGCACATGGACAGGGTTGATCTTGCATACACTTTTTGTTTACCTGAAAGACAAAGAAAGGGGCAGTTGCTCTCTCTTTGAAAAGCTCGAGAAATTCTGGCACAATCATCTCTGCCCTGTTTGAAAAGCAAAACTGTTGTTAGATTTGGCATTCACACTGCTATGAGTTCTGGTGAACCCCTGCCCCTGCCCCACAAAGACCCTGAAGCTTCTGTTTCTGCCTGCACAAGAAATTGTACTGTCTCTCTGCTCTCTTATGCGGAGGGGTGGGTCTAGATTAGAAATGGGGGTATTTGTATACGAATATCCCTGCACAGGTGACGTTAACGAGGGTGTAGCCCCATGGGGCCAGATGATCCACTCATTGATCCGCTGAAGACGCAGACGGCATGATTCTATGAATGGCTCCGTAGCGCGCGATCTGCTCGCCATGCTTCAACCTTGCAGCGAGGCTTGTCCTCCCATCTCCTGCTAGGAGTGGCAAGCAGATCACGCACTGTGGAGCCACTGGTAGAATCGCGCTGTCCGCGGTGGATTGGTGAGCTTGCCCAAGGCCACAGAGGCTGGCTCTTCTCCCAGGAGACATAATGGGAAATCCAAATCCCAACCTCTGACTCTGCAGCAAGATACCTAAACCACTGAGCTATCCAGTCAGCTCCTGCAAATGCCTATGCTGATTTCTTAACTTGTGGTAATTCAGCACAATGGAGTTCCACCAGATAGTGTTAACAGCATTCTGGCCACTGTTCTTTCTTTAAATTTCTGTACACTTAAACAGTCTGAGTCTGTTTTAGGTAAAGGTGTCCAAAATATTTAAATAAGTCTGATGATGGAACCCCTACACCAACATCTTGAGCATTTCTGAGTATAACACAGTAAACTTCAGAACTAAAAAAACACACCAGCCATTTGTTCTATCTATTTTCCAGATTAATGGGACCTTAATCTAGCACTCTAAGCTTGCACTCCTGCCAACTAATATCGGCAAGCAAATTAGACCACAGTGCAGACATTCGACAGCAAAGAGGGGAAGCACTCTCATTCCTAGGGAGGCTCACCATCCACGTGAAAGCCTGCTCCACCTTTTTCCCACCTACTTGTTCATGCCATATTTTTTCTCCGCTGTTTTTATCTCTTTGTCTTCCTGGTAGCCTCGGGCATTTTGATAATACTGCAGTGGGTGTTCCACAGGGAAAGCCACAGGAAGGAATTTTTTCTTCTCATTGGGTTCATAGAAATATTTGATTTTCTGAAATTCGAAAGAAAGGACTTCCTGCCCATTCTCATCCTAAAGGGAATGCAGAGAAAACCATTAAGGTTGCACATGAAAGGGGCCATAAGGAGCCTTGTAGTGCAGTGGTTAAACAGCTGTATTGCAACCAAAACTGTGCTCACAACCTGGGGTTCAATCCCAGGTAGCCGGCTCAAAGTTCACTCAGCCTCCCATCCTTCCGAGGTCAGTAAAACAAGTACCCCGTTCACTGGGGAGTGGGGGGAGCAATGTGTAGTCTGCATAATTAACTTGTAAATTGCCCAGAGAGTGTTTTAAGTGCTATGGGGCGGTACATAAGCAGAACGGTTTACTTCTATAACTCCCATCACCATATTTTAGCATAATTCCCCCCGCCATAAGGTAGGCCCACCCACCAAATTCCTCAGCGCAAGTGACCAAAGCAAATCTAAGCATCTACAACAAATTCTAGTAAGGATGGACAATGATAGCTGTTGGATGCTCTTCAACTGCCACTCCCAGCATCTCTCATAGGCTGCCTGGTGCTTAAGGGATCCACAGCTCAAAAAACATCTGGAGGATTGCAGCTGCTTACAGAAACTACAAGAAAAAAATGCAATCCAGCAGTCAATCTATGCAATCTATAAAGCAATCAACAACTACTCCAAAGCTCACAAAGTCTCGACAACAATAAAAAGTTGTCAAGAAATGCCTGAAGTAGACAGGAGGCAAAATTAAATTAACTCCACCTCTCTTAAAAAATAATGACCTGGGGTCCTGTCAGCAGAAGCACCATCTTAGCAGAATTCGGCTCATGAAATGATTACTGCTTATGGAACCTCTATTTGGAGATTCCTCTTGCAGTCCCCAAACCCTCTTGGGAGGGTTAAGACGACCCCCTGGAACAGCTTGGGGAATGACAAAGGGGAAGGAAATGAATATTACTCCATCTCCCTTCTTCCTTCAGTAGAAGCCTCCACAGAATTGTGAGATGGAAGTAATGATTCCATTCACAGATGAAAATGCAGGATCCAACACATGGCCGGACTGTTTCCTACTTCACTCTGAGGCACAATTTGTCTTTCTGTATCCTTTGCACTGAGCTGTCACACTGCCATCATTGTTTCAGCTCATAATCTGGACATTTCAACTTTCCACAGGGGGATCCAGTTCCCTGTTCAGAGCCATGACCCCTTTTTTTACCTGGTCTCGATGAAGGGGCACCAGTTCTGCAGAACCGTTATTAGGAGTGGGTACAACTTTAGCCATTGTAGCTTTCCTTGGACTCCGCTCCTGAAAGACACAATTGGGAAAACTGGCCTTCAGAGTTTGGGCAAAGCAAAGAGAGGATAAAAAGCTGCAACTCAGAATATCTCCTGCATAAAACACCAGAGACACTTCTAAGTTCCCTCGGGCTTGATCCATTGTTTACTGTTTCCATGTTTTTATTAACAAACTCACTGTAATGCTAAGAGTTGAACTGTTAGGTGGAGTGAACCAATAACCTACCCCCTTGGCTCAAATGTTCATTAGAGGCCCTTCACTAGGTCATCACCACTGTCACAGGTAGCAGCTGGAGAGATGAGCTTTTCTACAACAGCACCCCAACTCCAGATTGTTGTTCTCAGGGCAACCCATTACACTACATTATTTATATGTTATCAAGCTAAAGTCGCTTTAATGTTCTTTATTTTATCTGATGCTGAATTCTGAATTTTAATTGCTGCTTTCACTACATTCTGCTGCCTTCAGGACTAAATTTTAGATACAGCTGGATGAATGTAAGCAATCTGGGACATTCCTGGAATGATAAGCTAGGATAATAATATATAAGTTAAGCAGAAGTTTATCAGTCGCAGGAATGGGCTGCGCGATGCAATATTATCTTGTTAACATCTTTGAACACTTTTCGTTTCTTTAGCTTTCCATAGCACTAGAACTTCCAGACTGCTAGAAACTTAAGAAGCAGCAAAGGCGTCTTCATGCTACATTGCAGGCATCTGCAAAGTCTGCATTAGGTATTCAGTGCATGGATGGAAAGCACTTTCACCCCTGCAATGGACAGCTGGTGATGGGCAGTTTTTTAAGGGACCTCTCTCTTCAACTCATTTCCCTAAGTCGTCGAGTCCATAAGATTTTTTTTTTGAATGAGTAACTAATTTCCTAGTGAAGCTATCTATCAACATTCTCAAACTCCAAGAATCACGCTGTAAGAGTAGACAGTGGGGACAGCGAATGCTTTTTCTGTTTGAAGGTAGATGCTTGGAAATGCTCCTCGCTTGGAATATACCACTCTCAGATTTCTGCGTGGCTATGCTGCCTAGCAGTCTGCCAAGATACATTGGGACCACATACTAGCTAGTCATGGGGCCAAAGGAAAAGATTCTTTCTGACATGCAGGCTGCCGGGGAGGGGGGGGGAATCAATCCCTCTTGCTATAAATCCAAAGGGATTACTTACACAGGGCAGTTGAAATCAGGCCAAGAGCTGCAAGGTATCCACTCTTGCTGTTCAGAAATATATGCATAAATATGCACATATACTTATGCTAGAATAATTCCTGCTGACCTCTGTGGGACCTATTTCTGAGTAACGAAAAGGTCTGCACTAGCAGATAACTTATCTGTTACTTGTTTTTTCCACGGGACTGATGCTACTATGAGACAAAAAGTCATGGCTACCTCAGGCAACTGAAGGGAAGAGTAATTAATGGGGCAGGGTCAAAACATCACTAATATAAATATGTTTTTACTAGAAGTTTTAAGTCTAATGGAATGTAGTCTCTTCTCTGTGCTCTTAGAGCAATATCTCTAAAATTAAATGACAGTCATAAAACTAAACTTGCTGGCCTGTTAAAATAATGGAACTGGATCTACAGAGATGTAGGTTACTTCAACAGTGCACCTGCAGGGTAACTGAAACATACCTCATTTCTAGGCACAAGCAAAAGCAACTTCAGGCAGCACATTACTGATAAAGAAGGGGATAATTTATATAGATATTTTGCCTGAAGGACTGAAATTTTACAATTAGATGAACTGCTAGGAGAGAAGCAGCACAAGAGGTTATCTAATTCCGCTGCAATGGAATTAATTAGATACATACCACTGTTAAAGAAATGTATTCAAACAATGCTATGTGAAGCATGTTACTTATTCATTACAGTGGGGTCTCTACTTAAGAACGTCTCTACTTAAGAACAATCCAACTTAAGAACAGCTCCATTTGCTAAATTTTGCTTCTACTTGAGAACAGAAATCCAAGATAAGAACAGGAAAAAAAACCTTTCCTGCTCTTTTTTTAACCTTAGGTCATCTTAGGTTAAAAAAAATTCTCCCCCTAGTGGTAGAGTACGTATTAACCAGCTTTGCATTAGTTCCTATGAGAACTAATGCTTCAATGTACGAACGCACCTCTACATAACAAAAAAACAGCCAGAACGGATTAATTGGTTTTCAGTCCATTCCTATGGGAAATGTTGCTTCAACTTAAGAACGTTTCAACTTAAGAACACCATTCCAAAACGGATTAAGTTCTTAAGTAGAGGTTCCACTGTAGTTTCTATGGACGGAAAAGAGCAGATACGGATTAAATGGGTTTCAATGCATTCCTATGGGAAATGCAGATTCAACATAAGAACTTTTCATCTTGAGAACCACCTTCCAATACGGATTAAGTTCTTAAGTAGAAACCCCACTGTATTCAAACAACACTGCCTCCTGGTCTGTTTCTCAACTCAACTGAAAATGTTGATCATTAAATGACAACGGGGTCTAGAAATAATATAGGAGCTGTTTAAAAGAACCACCTGGTCCCACATGATCCTAAGCATCATTAAGATGTTTGGGTGAGGCCTTGCTCCATATTTCATCACCTTCTGACACATGATTAACTCAGGGGTACTGGGGATAGGGCCTCACTTGCAGAATTCTGAGTTTCTGTTTGTTGAGTTCCATCCAGGTCCTTCTGTGTCAACCTTCAGAAAGCCTGTGAAGATGATCTTATTCTGGTAGGCAATAATGTTCTCTCTAATTTTCAGCTCCACTAGGTGGGACTCTACCCCCACGTACAACTCCAGCCCCTCCAGGCGAGGAATTCTGCTGTGGGTATACAGAGGAGGAACAATGTTCGAAGTGGGGTGAACTGCTGCGTGCTCATGCAGCCACATAGCTTAGATGGAACCTTGCTGGTAAGTCTTCAAAATTAAATTGTTCCAGCTATTCAGTTTGTTCCTGATTCTGTGATTCTATGTTTTTTAATGTTGAGATAGCTTCTTCTTTCTTTTTTTTTGTGTTAACTGTTTTAAACTTGTATTCTTCTGGACTGTGCTTATGACACTTGAACAATAAGTTTCAAGGTGCCATTTCAAATCCCTCCCCCCATTTAGTGAACGGTTGTAGTCAATAAGGTTGGTATGAATACTTCACAACGTGGAAGATTCACAAGAATTCTGTACAGTAGCAGGGATCTAGGTAATTTTACTGTTGCAATAAAATAATTTTAATTTCCTAAATCTAATTTAAAGTATGTATATATTTTCTGTCTAACAGCAAGCATCTAAAGCTGCCAAAAGTATGTGAAAATAAACACAGGAATCATTTTTTAAATACATCAAATGCTGATGTTAGAAGCATACGTTTCCTAAGCCAGTGTTCTCCAACCAGAATCCCTCCAGATGTGTAGGACTACAATTACCATCACCCACATCCATTATTTGCCACTTACATTAATTTAGAAAAAAAACACAGTTGAAGTAGGGAAAGCAATTATTAAAGGAAATACTCGAAAAGGAAATACTCAGAAAGATGGCAGTGAAAAAAATTACATCCCTCAGCTTGAAACATGAAAATTCCTTGAAAAAAAACAACAACAGAAAAATAGGATTGGTCTAACTCTTAAAAACACACACACAAAAGGGTAGCCCTAATTGTTCAGATAGTGAACAGCAATGTTGTACAAATTAACAGAAGAAAATATATTAACGGAAGAAGTTTCCCAACCCCTCCTCTTTCCTGCAAACACTTTTACCCCTGAAAACCTTTCTATTTTCTTGGAGCATAATAAAAGTTGACCAATTCTAGTCAAACAGATTGAATTGCCCGTCTGTATGCTGAAGATGGTAGGATGTGATTTCCTGTTGAAAGTTTGATCTTTTAGTGTTTTATGAAAGCTTTTACTTGGAAGTTAAACCTGTTCATTTTTTGGGGGGGTCAATTCAGGCTGTTTGACTGGGACTGGTCAACTATTACTTTTATCCCTGCTCTCCAAAAAGCCTTTCCAGAAGACTGAGAAGCACTTCAGAAAGGAGGCCGCTGGGAGTGTAAGCGTCACCAGAAGTTGCACATAGAAAACTCTGTTTTTTAAAAATTATATTGTGATCAAAGCTATTGTTAAGCTTCACTGTAATGTTTACTCAAAGGCAAGTCACTCTGACTACAATAGGACTGACTTCTTAATAAATCTGGTCAAGATCACAGCCAACTACTGAACTCTCTCCAAAGGCCACACTTACTCTTTGTTCAACAGATTGAGATCACAAGAGTTATGAAGTTGCTTTCTACTGAGCCATACAACAGGTCATGATTTACTTGTTGCTTTTCCTCCACTCACCATTCTTCCAACAAACACTCTGTGAAGTAAATACTGCTGAGAGAGTCTGACTAGCCCAAGTCGAACAGATTAGAATTCGGATTTCCCAAGCCTGGATCCATTGTTGTCAGGCTTGTCTGTTCCCACTTGCAGCAGCCCCCTCCCCCCCGGATTCACATAGAGGATCTAAACCACCTTGCTACCTATGACCCTTTGACTGAAAACTGAACACATGCAATCATGTACTCATATACTGAGTTTACATTACTTAATGTTATTTATCTGAAAGACAGCAGACAAATAAAATTCATGTAGTAGAAGTACAAATGTTATGTATCTTTCAACGTACAGGCAATGCAAACATACAATTACTTTCCAGAGCATGAAATAAAGTGAGAAGCCTGGGGAAGGAAATGGGTTTGGCAGGGGCTAAATATAGCTGGCAGAATAAGAGACCTTTCTTCAAGCCCTTGCAAAGGCACAATTGGCTTCTCTCCAACCACAAAATTTCTGAGATTGTGCTTTACAAGTTCATCTGATTAACATCCTTGCAGAAAAGCTCTGACACAGACCAAGAGAATTCAAGGCAGTGTACATGGCTTTCCTCCTTCTCATGCTATCGGCACAACCCCATGAGCAGGGCTTGAAAAAGGCACTCATCCATTGATTAAGGATGAGTGAAAAATGCTGCTAGACGAGTCACAGCTCCCTGCCTACCTGCCTCCTTCCCCTCTGCCTCTCTCTCTCTCTCTCTCTCTCTCTCATCCTGCAATCCTCCCCTCCCCCCATTGCAAAAGGAAAACTGCCCTGGTGAGAAGAGAGTTAGAGGACCACATAGAGACATAGCTCTGCAGAAGAATGTAAAGTAGTCCTATGCTGGAGAATATGGACATTCCCTGCTCCCAATTTCAACTGAATGAGGACACATCCTGGGATGGGAGGGAACCGTAGCTCCTTAAGAGGCAGGGCACTTTTGCTTTCAGTTTTATTTTTGCTGGAGACATTCAAAAGAAAGGCATTCAAAATACAAGCTTCATGACCCCACAAGCATGCAGGTAATAAAGCAGCCCAAGTCTGAGGGAATAAATCAGTGATTCCCAGTCCCAATAAATTACAAGGCTATAGTCCGGTCATGCTGACTTGTGAAAATTTTTGACTGACTGGTGAGACATTCTAATTTTTTTAAGCCCTGCCCATGAGATATGTCAACCATTGGGAAACTCCACAACCACCAGCAGCAGCCTTATATCTAAGAATGTGCCTTACAGCCATGGGTGACAAAACTTTCCAAGCAGGGAAGGGAGTGGACTGGTGAAGCAAAGATCATTTTGTGGCTCCCCTATTAGCCTGTTTATTTCTTTGCTGGAAATAAGAGTACACCTTTGGTCTAGATGGGCAGGATAGAAATCAAATAAATAAATAAAATATGGAAGAAGGAAGGTCTTTCTCTCTATGGAAATGCAGGGGGCTCACAGAAGAGGAACATGCAATTCATCCCATTTTCACTAGTCAGCAAAGTGGAAGGAAAAGAGGCAACCACTCTGCATTTCTGTTCTGCTCAAACAGGCAGTCTTTCCTCCTAAGCTGACATCATGCAAGTATCTTATGGCTGGGCTGGCTTTGTACATACCCTGCCTTTCTCCTTGAAGGGACCAAGGTGGCTTACAACATTAAAAGACAATATTTAAAGCTGAGAACAATGAGTACACAATGATGCTTAACATCATTAAAAGATAAAGCTAAGAACAGTGAGTATAAAGAGGCATCTTACATGAATAAAAGGCAATATTAAAGCTAAGAACAATAAGTATGCAAATATTTTAAAAATGCAAATCTGAGAAATGGAAAACACAAGTAGTACTAAGAATCCAGTCAAAGCAGTAATGAATAACAATTGATCTAAAAATCACACACAAGTAGCTAGTAACTGGGGAAAGCTTGTCTGAAGAGAAAGGTCTTTGCCTGCTTGCAGGAGGACAGCAAAGATGAGGCCAGTCTGGCCTCCTGTGGGAGGGAGTTCCAGTCTGGGAACAGCAACACAGAAAACCCTTTCTTGTGCCCCCATCAGACACACCCATGAAGGTGATGGGATCGAAAGGCAGGCCTCTCCTGATTATCTTAACACCTGAGCCGGCTCATAATGGGAGATAGGGTCTTTGAGATAGCTTGGACCCACGCCATTTAAGGCTTTATAGGTTAAAAACAGCACTTTGAATTGTGCCCAGAAACTGATCAGCAGCCAGTGGAGCTGCTGTAGTAGTGGGTTATGTGATCCCTGTAACCAACCCCAGCCAGCAACCTGGCTGCTGCATTTTGGACTTCCTGAAGTTTCCTGACACTTTTCATTGGCAGTCCAGCATAAAGAGTGTGGTACAGTAATCAAGCCCGGAAGTGACTAAGGCTTCCTAGTTACAAGGCTGAGAATCATCAATGATCAGAGAGATGGTTCTATTATCTCATTATAATGATTGGAAAAGGGGGAATATATAATAGTCTCAAGACACAACAAATAGGTCACCCTGCAAACTACAAGGAGGATGCATGGCTATTTGTTCCACATGGCAGATGCTGATCAAAAGTCTACAGACAGATGCATTATGTTTGGGGTACAATAATGTCTCTTCAATTTTAAGCCAAGGAGAGAGAAAATCTACAGACAATATGAAAGCCTGCTGAAATTTTAATTAATGGTGTTTCCTAACAAGCTAAAAATAAAGCCCAAGAAAACTTTCATATACAGAAAGGAAAGAAAGTAAAAGTAGGTAGAATTTCAGTCAGGTAGGAACCTGGCTTTAAGCTAAGCACTTTCGACAACTTATAACAGAAAGCTTCAAGTTTATCATCTGCTTTGTTTGTTTGCTGATGTAGATATTTCATTACAACCTGAGGGCAATAAAAAAAGCAACTGATACCAGCACCACAGGCACATATGGAAGACTGAATATTACAAAAGTCTATGCCAAAGAAATAGTGTGAGATCACCAGATTGCCTGGACCTCAGAAACAGCTGAGAAAGACATGCCATTCCTCTTGCTTCTGAAAGTGAAAGTCTGCCTATTACACTGCATTTCAGGGACACACTGTCACTTCTCCAATGGCTGGTTACTTCAGCTCTGAAAAATGTACAGTATCTCATGTGGGCGAAACTCCTTTGTGCCACATTTTGTGCAAATGATAAGCAAGTGTAGAAACTTGCAAGTATGCGCCAGTTACTCATTATTTATGGCATTTATGGCCTATTCATTTTATTTTATGATCAGGGGTGCTAGAATCATTTTAAGTGCACATTCATATTTCTCTACGTACTCCAAAGGAGCTCACTTACAGATTCTCTATTATAGTCATTGGGTCCCATCAAATCAATTTTGACTGATGGTGACCCTTCCCAATATTTCCTTGGTATAGAGTACTCAAAAGTGATTTCACATTCTCTTCTTCTACGGATGCTCTGGGATTGTGCAGTTTAGCCAAGGCTACATAGGCTGGCTCTTCTGGGGCACCCAGTGAGGAACTGAGTTCCCAGCCTCTAGATGTGTAGCTAGGTACCTAACTTAATACAACATGAATACTATTATAGGAGATTGTTACAATTCCAGGAGGCCCTATGATGATCTGGAATAAGCAGCACCTTTCATACTCTATTACACTATAGTGCTATAATGTCATAAAGTAAGAAGCATTGTTTAAACATAGAACTCTTTTTAAAAAAATTACAATATCTGCCAACCCTGTTGTATGCAAACCTATAGAAATAGGACGTACATGAATTCTGTTCAGCAAGATGAAATGGGACCAGGGAAGCACAGTTAAGAACTAAACACACTAATCAACAGACCCACCTAAGAGTTTTTTTGGAGGACAGAAAGCACTACTTCACATAATAAAATCGCACACAACACAGAGGCTATTAGCAGTTCCCGATTTCCAAATACCACAAAGATCGCTCACCTTTCTAAACAGCTGGGTTACTTCCAATGCCCTCACTACTAGACTGTACAGAAAGAAGGCTATGTTTACATCAGGACTCATCATTCTGGGGCCAAGACCTGAACATTAGTTCCTTATTAACCAGGGGATATTAAGAAAGCACAGACTAGCAACTTTTTGGCCGGAGTCTATTCCTTTCCTAATGCCAAATAGGAAAAACGATCCCAAGGAGAGCATTCAGACCTACGTCAGTCTTGGCAACCCTTCTTCAAGGAGTTAAGCGCGGCCCAGGAGACTCGCCTCTTAGACTGGAGAAGGAGGTCCCCCCCCCCTTCCACGCTTCTCAACCGGCCATTCGCAGCAGCAGCCCTCTGCCAGAGAGGTTAATTTCTAGGCAGTCACGGGGCTTATCCCAGAAGGACCCCTGCCCTTCCTTTCCTTTCCTTCATCGCCCCCCGAGAGCCCCTTCCCCTCTTCCCCCCGCCCCCCGTGCTGGGGAGTGGGGGGCGCGCGCGACTGACCCAACAGCAGTAGAGGAGGCAGTGGACGTTGACGCTCCACAGGCCGGCCAAGGCCGTGAGAAGGTGAAGAGCTCCGATGGCGGCCAGGTAGAGGAGGGCGGCCTCGGGTGTCTCGGTGCCGGCCGTTCCCCCCCAAGCCCAGGCGAAGGCGCAGGGCCCCCAGAACCACAGCCAGAGCGGGTAGAGCACGCAGAAGGGCAGGACCGTCCCCCACAGCAGCCTCGACCGCCGCCGGTAAGGAATCACGTCCTGCACCAGCTCGTCTCCGGGGCCCGGCCCGGGACCGTCTGCCGGTGGTAGCGGCGCTGCTGTTGCCGCCGCCATCCTATTTCTTAGAGGCGCCGCTGCCGCCACCGAGACCGGCTGCTTCTCTTCGCGCCTCTTCCCCTTCCGGGGCAAGTCGCAGCTTCCCCGCCCCTCCGTGAGAAGCCGCGCATGCCCAGTGCCACTACGGCATCCCTGAAACCAAAACTCCCTTCTTTAACTACCCGCGCGAGTAAAGCCTACACGTCGCTTTAGTGAGAAAGCGCGCGCGCGGGGGGGGGGTTAATTGTTGCCTCAGCGCGCAAGCGCCAAGGTGCACGCCGTCCTCTAGCGTCGTGGCTGCCGCGGGAGGCGCTGGCAGGTGCCTCTTCGGGCATGCGCACAAGGGCCCCCGTGGTAGAGGAGGCGCATGCGTAGTTGAGAGGAAGAAAGAGTCGAAGTTGCCCTTCAGCAGAAGCAGCAGCATGTGAGTGTGACCTCGGCGCTCTCTTTCTCTCTCTTTCTCCCTCCCCCCCCCCAAAATAAAAGAAGGGTTTTCCTGCTTCTATTCTTCCCCTCTCGGGGTTTCATCTGACCCTCCGTGGGTCGCATTAGAGATCAGGCCAGAGGCTGTTCTTATCCAGTAGTTTCACGTCTTCTGCAGGCGCGGGATGGGAAGGCGGAGGGAATGCCCCCCCCCTTGAACGCGCCTAGTTTTGTGCTTGGAGTCCTTCCGGATTGTCTTTGGCGCCTTTGTGTGCCTTTTCCTCCCGGTGGAGCAAAACGGCGAAAGAGAGTGACCGTGCCGAGGTTGCCATCCTCCGGCAGCGGATGCTGTGGCGCCCCTTGCCACACGCGTGCAATTGAAGGAGGGCTTCCTCCCGCCTCCTCTGAATCCCCACGCATCCCGCTTCAGGGGAGCACCCTGAGAGAAAGCCAAACTTCTCTAGCCGTTTTTCCAGGCCCCTTAACGCCAAGGCAGGCGAGCATCCCCCCTGAGGTGTGGCGATCCAGCCCCTGCCCCCCCCAGCTGCCCTCCCTTTCGTGCATAATTTTATCAGGGATGTGGCAAGTAAATGTCGGAGCAAAAGTTAAATTTCCGTGCGGACAGAGTGCCCCTGGCCATGTGCACAGGCGTTCTTACCCATTTCAGATAAAGCCCTAATCCTTAGTACCAAAGACCAACCTGGAATTAGATGGTTGCTGCTTGAGATGCTGTCAACTACTAGAGAGCTTTCAGTGGAACCACCTGGGGTTCACTCTTTGTCCTTATGCTGTCGTGTCTTCATCCCAACAGGCAAGCAGCTTTGGAAGTGACGGCGCGGTACTGCCAGAAAGAAGCAGATGCCTACGGCCAGTGCGTGGTAGCCAATCCTTCCTCCTGGCAACAGGACTGTCACCAGCTTAAAGTTGAAATGGCAAAATGCACTTCTTCCCAGTAAGTTTCTCAAGGGAACGGGTGGAAATATCAGGCATCAGTGCACAGGATCAATTTGGATGAAATTGCAAAAAAAATCATATATTTCCTTTTATGGTTTATTTTATTGTGACTATAACTTCACAGCTGGGGATGTAGAGTTGATATAAGATGGAGGCTACTGGGGCGGGGGGAACCCTCATTTAAGCTTTCTTTGTCTCTGCTTTGGCCTGTTCCCATTTAAAGGCATTTATTAAATCTGCATGCTGATTTTCCAGAAATAAAATGCTTGGATGGGTACATTGTTGGCCTACTAAGTGAATATGTGAATGGTGATCATGTGAACATAGAAAGTGTACACATGTGAGGATGTTTCTTGTCGTCTGTGTTCTGAATGACTGAAAACTGTGTCTAGGAAATGTTTCTTGTCCTGAATTCATCACTCACCTAGAGAAAACAGGTGATGTCTACTTTCTTCCTATACATCTCCATTGCTTTTAATTCTCCCTCACAAGCAGCTACTGTAAATATTGGCAATGATGAACAGGGAAGTTGGGTTACCTTTGTTTCCAGACCTTCACAAATGGGTGCAGTATTTCTCCTCAAGCAGAGTGGATCTTGGTGATGATAAATGGGGAAGTCTTGGCAGAGCTATACATTACTATGGGGGGTGGGGTGAAACCTGGAGAAGTATCTAAATTCAGGAAAAATCACAAGTTTATCCAAATCCTTGAGAGAGGCTGTGCACAAACACGGGTGGTAGATTAGAAAGGAACAATTTGGATGGCAGAAATATCTGAATTTGCTTTAATTACAATATTTTATATGGCAGTGGTTCCCAACCTTGGGTAACCCAGGTATTCTTGGATTGCAACTCCCAGAAGCCTTCTCTAGCAGTTGTGCTGGCTGGGGTTTCTGGGAGTTGTAGTCCAAGAACACCTGGGTTACTCAAGGTTGTGAGCCACTGTTACATGGTATGATAGAATGCTCAAAGCATCTCATACTCTTATATGAGCAGTTCTTTAAGCTATGGTCATCCCCATTTTACAGATGGGGAGCTAAGACTGAGAGATTCAGACCAGAACTTGTACCCTGCCATTTTCCCACTGTTTATATATGCATTGGTGTGGCTTTCATTGCAGCCCAATTGTGCAGAAGATTCGCCAGGAGTGCGCTGAACCCTTCACAGCATTTGAACAGTGCCTTAAACTAAATCAGGCCTCCGTTGCCAACTGCACTGAACATGTCCAGAAGTTTCTGCTCTGTGCTGATCAGGTGAAACTGGCCATATAAGGTCAGTGCCTCAAAATGGATTTGCAGTAAGCACACGTATTTGTTTTCTGCCTCTTGTGTGTGTTTACATAAATTGAGGCAGCTGCGTTGAATGTAAGACAAGGGGAGATGCTAGCTGTTGACTCAAAACCAAAACATTTTGTGGGATCTTTAAGACCAGCAAGTTTTGTTTGGTTGAAAACATTTCTTTCCAGCAGCAACAGACCTCGTGGTGGAGATTCTCATGCAGAAAGCAGACACTGCTGCAAACCCAGACGATAACTCTGTCCTCTTGTCTACACTGGAAACATGGTTAAAGGACTGAATAATGTCACTGGCAACATTGGGAATTCTTACCCATGTTTGTCCTCCAAGGTAACGAATGTCATCTTTTGCCAGCAGTGACCCACAGCAGTTTACTTGGGACAAACAGGCTAAGTCTTTACACAAAATGATGTGTAAAAACTGACATTAAAAAAGTAATATTCAGAAATCAGTGGGAAACACTTCTGGATTCTTTGTGTTTGACTGTATAGTGACTGTTCTTGAACAAAAGGATTTTGAAAGTGGATTCCAAAGGGAAACAGGTGAAGAAGAATAGGTCAGGAGATTTAAATCCATACCTCTTGGCTTGATCGAAAACAGAGGCTGCTTATCACATTATACTTATTGATCAGTTCATCTTTGCAGGTTTGTTTGTATAGCTACTCTGTAGGTATAACTATTCTGTAGGGCTTCAGTGATTTTATTCCAACAGGGCTATGAACAAAACAGGTCACTTTGGGCTTCAGCTGAAACAGCCATGGTCTTGAAAGGAGAAAACATTGGTTTAATGTCTCATGGGTATCTGACATCTAATGGACCTCAGTGTTGGCAGGACGTTTATGCTGAGCAACTCTCTGAAAGTTTATAGTTATTAATACATTTGTTACATAACTTATCCCATTTGATTTTGCTCTACCCTTATAGCTAGGACCTTTATGTGTATATATCTGTGGTTTGAATGTGGTACACCATGCGTCTGGAGAAATGGGCTATGTCTACAAGTGCTAATTAAACTTTTAAGGCTTAAGCATGTCCCAAGTCTCTTTGTTGGGTTTGCTGCAAAACACACACACACAAACAAACAAACACAACAGCCCTAACATGATTGCCCACTTCTGTCCTCAGACATGATGGCATGTCATGCAATGTTCCTAAACACTCTACCGAAGGGTATCATTCATGGAATGCTGGACATCCATTCATCTTTTGGTGGAGGTGGTACACCAGTTCGGTTTGGAGGACCAACTCACACAGGAAGCAAAAGTAGGTTGAGAACACAGAGCTTGGGGGAGGAAGGACAGATGAAGACCTTGAGCTGAGATAGGTGGGGGAAGTAAAACTTTTTTCAGGTTCTAGGGTTGAGAAAAGGTGTGTAACAGAACCAAAGATTATGTAATGTTGCAGTTTTCAGGACCTTAAAAATGTTTTGGCCTTGCAATACTGAGTAAACCTTTTAATATACCTTGATAAAAGATGGATTATATCATGCTTTTTACAGAGGCCAGATAAAACTGGACTGGTTATTCATTCCGACTGTGGTGTACCAAATGGTGGGCCACCCCGTAGGTTAGAAAGGCTGGATATAGTCAAGTGAGGGGCTTGGTAAATGGCGTTCTGTGTCTAGTCACACTAGCCACGTGGCCATGGAGGATTGTCTGCGGACAAACGCTAGCTCTATGGGTTGGAAACAGAGATGAGCACCGCCACCTAGAGTCAGACACGACAAATGGTCAAAGGGAACCTTTACCCTTAACCTTTTCTCCACAGAAGTGAAAGATGATGATAATTCATTGTTCATGCAGGCCACAGTTCTTAGGATAAGAACTGAAGGCGTAAACAGCAAATTGTTCTGTGAGTCCCTAAACACTAACACATTCATTATGGGATAAACTTTTGTTGGCTACACCCAGCTCCGTCAGATGCGTAGAGTGTTAACCAGAATTTCAGCTATACAACAGACGTGGTTGGGGATGGGATCGTAGACCATGAAGTTGGAGAAATTGATGTATTGACAGAGAATTACATTCTCAACAAGACTGCTGCTGATTTATACAACCATCCTGAGAGGAGGTAAGCCAGTCCACAATTATAGCATGACAAGAACTGTAAGCATGGATAACGATGATGTTAGTGTAACATTTTGAAAGGACCTTGAGATCTTTTATTTATGTGTGTTTGTGTGTCCCTTTCCTTCTTTCTACAGTACAGAAAGGTGATGTCCTCAGCAGCCGCCTAGGCTTTAGATTAGATTATATGAAGTGCCAACTGGCCTGAACATTTATGCAAATAACAGCAACAGTGTTATGTGCATCCTCAAGATCCTAACAGGACACAGGAATTCTTATCCGCCCTGGTTAACAGTTGCCCGTCCATCTCAGTGTGGCATGTTGAAGTACTGCTCCGGATTGGTCCACCACAGGAACCGTGCTGCCATGACATCACTATCTCTGCTCCAATTACAAAGCCAGAACTGCTGCTTTAAATCCAGCATAAATGTTTTGCTGTGCCTGAGACTTAGGCAGGCATGGGGCAATAAATTACAGTCAACAGGCCAAAATAGCCTCTTTCTGTCTTTTTGCTCTCTTATTTAAACTACAACTGTGAACCCATTTGAAAGGGGCTCAGTTGGATAGAAAGATGCATTGGTAGAAACAGAAAGGCTGCTAGTTACCCAGTGATGGTTTTTCCCTGCAACATTTGTGAGACTTTTGCATTTTGTCATAAGTCTTGCGTTGACGTTCCTCTGTGGCCTTCTGTTGGCATCTTGCTGATGGCCAGTAGAGGGCATTAGCTCAACAGCAGAGTCTTGTCAGTGATGAAGACTTGGCTTCATGGTACTTGCATAAAGCTGCACTCATGCCTTAGTCTGGAATAAATTGTACCCTCCTAACGGTCTGAGAGTTCTGATGCATTTATAATTATGATTTAACCAGAGAGAACAATATACTCATCAATAGTTATTTAATCAAGGGCATTTTATGGGTGGTTTTCTTCTTGTGGAAGTAGCACGACTATACCACTTGTGGCTGCAGAGGGAAGCTCGTGATTGCATGTATGTACATGCACAATACATCTGCAAAAATGGTGGGATGTCAGGGTCATCAAATTGAGATCAAGTCTCCTGGAAAGTGCTATCGTCAAGACGCAGCTTTACCATTTCAGTAACAAGTCAAGTCAGAGGTACACAACTTGTAGGCTTCAGGCACACACACACACCCCAGAAAAAAGTCTGGTGTACAGGTCCCATGACTGCCACTCCTAGCCAGATTCCGCCTGTACTTTCAGAGACTGGGTTCACCTTCGTGACACCAGAGTAAACCAGAATCACCACTTGCCTCCTGCATCACTAGCGGCACTAGATCAGCTTATTCTCCTTTGAGGTAATAAAGGGAGGAAAAGATGCTGTTAACATCCTCACCACCACACTTTTGCCCTTAAGCGTTCAGACAATTCTTTTTCTGATGTAAGAGATGCTACGATTGCTTGAAGTAGCTATGGAGGAACATTCTGTTTTTGTAGCCTATAGTTAACGTTTGTGGGATTGGAGACGTGGGATGAAAGGATGATGAACTTTTCTCACGTGGAATGAATAGGCATTGGGAAGAACGTGTGTCTTCACAAATGGGAGTGTGCAACCACACTACATTATGCCTATATACTAGACAAGGGTCTTGGGAGTATGGGCTTCTACGTTCACTGAATCCCATAAAGGCTGAAGATGCACTCCTGGAATTAGCAAGAATTTACTGCACCAGTCCACCAAACATTTAAAAATACAAAGCAGAAAGCCCTGGCAATTTCCTCTCTTCCTTTTAAGCACCCTTGCCTAAGAAAGTTCCCCACTTTGGCTTGCATAGCTTTAACCTGCAGTTGGTGACTTGTGCAGATTGCAACTCCCTGTTGAGTTAAGAAAGTCCCAACTGTTTTGTTCCATTCCATGGATTTCAAAAGGCACAAGTAACAATCCCTGGACAGCTGCCAGGAATGTGTTTGATTCTTTTGGGAAAAAGCCATACCAGGGGAGCTGGGGGGATCTGTGGGCTGCAAGTTGCACGGACCTTGGCCCTTTGTTTCACCTCTGTTTCCTTTTTCATGCAACACTGCAATCATGACTTCTCAGAAGAATTACATGAAAGTTAATTAATATATATTTTTAAATGGGTGGTAAGATGATTGGTAGGAGTGTTAAGGGCCATTAATTTTTCTGTTCCCTCCCCACAACTCCCTTAGCCCCTAAAATCTAAACAGGTTGAGCACATTAAAGCCAATCAGTGCACTGTCACTTAGCGTTGTCTCTGGCCAAGCAGCACGCGTTGCCAAGTGGGCCTAGATTTGAACAAGCAAGCTGCCAGCTCTGTCTTTAATTCCTCATCTGGAAAAATGCCCTCATTTTACACCCTGCTTCTCACTAGCTATTGAGGACATCCATTAATCAGTGTCTTGGCGTTTGGTGTTGACCCTTCTGGAGGAGGAGAAATCCTGCTCTGAAACAAGCCCAGGATGTTGGAAGAATCACATTCCATCCACACAAAGTGTGCAGGTTTGGACTAGCTTCTGTCCAAGGCTAAAGTGAGATGCCTCTCTGAAGTGAGAAGAAGGGTGAATGGAGGAGCTGGGACAGAGCAAAGGATCCACGCCAAGAGTTTGAAATGTTTTCTAAAGGATACATTTCATCATTTAGTTGGGGGCTCCTAGTTAGCCAGTGATGATTTTCCTCGAAGTGAGAAGAAGGGTGAATGGAGGAGCCGGGACAGAGCAAAAGATCCACGCCAAGAGTTTGAAATGTTCTCTAAAAGGATACATTTCACCATTTAGTTGGGGGCTCTTAGTTAGTGATGATTTTCCCCTATGTACCATAGCCAGCACTGGAAGCTATCAGCAGTGCTATGATGGGTGGCAGGTGTTCTGCGGCCGCCATTTTAAGTTTCCCATAATTCTCTTATGGTGTTACGTCATTCCAGGCATTGTGAGGAATATACAGGCAGCAGGAACAGGCATCCATTCCCTGGTGGGGCCTACGTCTGATGGCTTGACCCACTCTTTCTCTTTTGTCTGTTTCTTCTGATTCTCATCAGTTTGCCAGTAATAAGCCACCAAAACTAAATACCTTTATGTCCCTTTCATTTCAATAGGAATTAAGCACAGGTTGAACTTTTTGATGCTGAAGTAGCAAAACTCAATAGTGCTTATTTCTGGCTCCTTTCTACCCTCTTACTATTTTCCTTGGACTCTCTGGGACAATTTTAGTTGTTAAACTACTTTTATGTCCCTTTCATTTCAATAGGAATTGAACTTTTTGATGTTGAAGTAGCAAGACTCAATAGTGCTTATTTCTGGCTGCTTTCTACCCTCTTACCATTTTCCTTGTAATCTCTGGGACAATTTTGGGTGTTGTTAGCCTTACCCAGCTGAGAGGTAAAAGTCTTCCCTGAAAACATCTTGTTTATTTGTTTGTACAATACTTCCTTTACATTTCTTACCTCTTTTCAGAGATCATTGGTTTACTGTTTTTATTAATTTGACATGTATCCCAGCCTTCCTCTTCAAAGACCCAGGATTGGGTGTCCCATGATTTGCTGCCTTTGTGACATGGGAAGGAGGATGTGGTTGATGTCACTAACAGCATCACAACAACAGCAGAAAATATTTGTGCACCCCATCGCTTGAGAGGTGGGGTGTACAGCCTCAAACAGACCTGATAATGAAAAGTAAAGCAGGGGATGGAAGAGGAATCAAAATGGCAAGGCCAGTTCTTTTGTTTGGGGCTTTGCCAGACCATGAGCTACCTTAGTAGAGAGAGAAAAGGAAGCACCCAGTTCCATTAAAAAAATCACCGAGCCACAGACCAATAGCAAATGGGCCTTCGTGAGACACCTGTATTCCATAAGGCACTTGCTATGGCCATGTTATTTGGGGGAAATAGCAACATATTCCCAGGCATAAACTATGGTGCTTTGAATGCTCAAGAGAAGCAGACTACTGCCCATCTGCCACCAATGGGCTGGGCTGGACTGTGCTGTGAAAAAA